CCAGATACTTTGAAGGTTAGATCAGGTTTAATATTGCCTTTATCTGAACTACTATACCATATAGTCAACCAAAAGATGAATTGACAAGTTCTGTGTATTTGCTTTTTGACTGGTTTTTAATATTTTGTAATTGCTTCTTTTATCATTGTTTATGCTTTACTTGTAAACTGCCCAGAGAGCCTGATGGGCTATGTGAACAGTATAAAATATAGGAAATGAATAAATAAAAGCCACCCAAGGAGAGTTTTTGTGACATTTTAACAAATAGTTATCACACTGATATGAAGTGTGATAATTTTTTAAAAAGCTTTTGTCTTTATTCAAACCACAGGAAACAGACTTGGTCATCAACAAAGCTCAAAAAGCCACAAAGGAACAATTTGTAAGACCCAACGGATGCCTAAACTCAAACTGACAAAAAGAAGGAAATTGAGATAAATTAAGAATCAGTTTTGATTCCTGTATTCACACAAGAGGGGCAACTTAACTTGAAAAGAAAAAAGTAACACAGGGACCGAGGAGCAGAGGAGCCACGAACTGAGCCAAGAAGACTGTCCGAAGGAATGCGGAGGGGAGAAAGAGATAACTGGCTTGAAAGAAAGTTTTCTGCTTCCTATCTCATCCTCCCAGTTGTTTTATGGGACGGGGGGTTGTAGGGCAAGGTGAAGTTAGAGAGGAGTGAATAGTGAGCTTGCAGTTATAAGCTGATGCATAGTAACACACACCCTGAATAGACAAAGGGCTAATTATAATGCACATGGAATGGTATGTAATGGCATGAGACAGGCATTGCATGAAGTAGGCAGGTGGAAAGGCTGTGAACCCCACAGTACCCAGCAAATGGGAAAAAGGGGAGGCTTCCTTCTGTGAGAGAAGGAAAATGACTGTTACTAAGCCGAAGAATGATGGATTGCTAAAGACCAGAGCAAAAGACCCTTACAAGGCCAAGCGCCAGAGTAAGGAGCCGTATGAAGAGATTTGTAAATAGGAAGTAGAGGGAAGTAGACAGGTTTGAATTAGTTCCTAAGGTAAGCAAACAAAGGCAAGTTAATATGTAGTATAGCTAAGTTTGGGCACAAGAAAAATAGTATTTCTCACATCAAAGTTCTGAAGAAAAGGGGGGATTGTAGGGAATGGTCAAAGAACTGCTTTTGCAGAAGAAAGCAGGTGATTGTCTCTTGGCAGCTGGCTAAAAGGATAATTGGCTTGGAAGAAAGTTGACTATTCCCTATCTCATCCTCCCAGTAGTTTTAGGACAGATGTAAGGTCAAGATGAACTAGTTAACTTATAGTGAGTAGTGCACATGCTTAACAGGCTTATGAATAATAACAGAGAAACAGAGCGAGTCAGAAGGGGTCTCCCGGGCCATCTAGTCTGACCTCTGGCACCAGCCGGCTCCACTCACGACATGCCCACCATGTGCACGTCCAGCCTGTCCTTGAACACCCGCACCGATGGGGCCTCAACCACCTCCCGGGGAAGCCCATTCCACACCCTCGGGGTCCTGACTTTAAGGAAGTGCTTCCTGGCATCTAAATTGAACCTTGGCTCCCTGAGCTTTGCTCTCCTGGAGTGCGTCCTGCCTTCCTCTGCAGGGGAGAACAGGTCTCTACCCATCTCCATGTGACATCCCCTCACATACCTGAGTGTCGCCAACATATCCCCTCTGAGTCTCCTCCAGCCTGAAGAGACCCGGTTCCCTCAGCCTCACCTCATACGGCTTCCCCTGCAAACCGGCCACCAACCTTGTGGCCCTACGCTGCACTGACTCTAACCTGGCTATATCCTTCCTGTAATGAGGGGCACAAAACTGAGCACAATACCCTTGTTGTGGGCGCTCCAGAGACGTGTAGAGTGACAGGAATACCCCTCTCGATCGAGAAGCCACACTTCTGGCTATGCAACCAAGGGTGGCGTTCCCCCTCTTGGCCACCGCATCACACGGCTGACTCATGTTCAGCCTGCAGTCAACCAGCACCCCGAGGTCCCTTTCACAAGTGCTGCTCTCGAGCCACTTGTCCCCTAACCTGCACTTCTGACAGCTATTCCTATGCCCCAAGTGCAAGACCTTGCGCTTATCCCCATTGAACACCACCCTGTTGTCTCCTGCCCACTTCCATAGTCTGTCCAGATCCTTTTGGATCTGGAGTACCTGCTCCTCAGTTGTGGCCACTGCTCCAGTGTTAGTGTCATCTGCGAATTTGATCAGCAGACTGTTCACCCCTTCTTCCATGTCATTAATGAAAAGATTAAACAGGATCAGCCCCAGGACAGAGCCCTGGGGGACCCCGCTTGCCACTGGCCACCATAACTGACACACCTTTCATAGGTAATAGACTCATTAGCATGAACATGGGATGCATGAGCGGGAGGGGGAACATACCAAGGAGTAGTGTGATAAAGGCGGACGGAGAAGATTGTGACTTCTTAGCAACCCAACCAATGGGCGAAAAGAGGCAGGTTCTGTGCACTGGGGAAAGGGAATAAAAGGCAATGTCTTTTGTCAAAGCGGCGCTCTACCTGTGAGGTGGGCGCCCGCTCTTGTGAGAACGCAGTAAACTAGTGCCACTTGGTACTTTGTCCCCTGTGTTGTCATTCCTTGAAACCCGATTCCGTTACTAACATTCCGGACGGGGCTCAGGAATAAAAAGAAATGGTCAGCCGTGCTTGCTCTGGGGGACACCCGCCGTGCAATTGCGATAATAAACTTAGTGCCGCTTGAATTCATGTCACGAACTTACTTCTTTGAGGAACCAAGTAAAAGAGTGATTCTCACACATATTTTTAAAAGGTTTACACGTTTGTTTTTAAAAGGCCTGCAAAATCAGAGGCACACTTCCTCCTCCTTTTCTTATACCTGACCAGAGCATCCATTAAGCAGTTCAGAGGGGTAGGTAGTTGCATTAAACTCTCACATACCTACCAAACATTCTGAAGAGACCTGTGGCACATTAAAACTGACTACATTTATTATGGCACAAATTTTCAGCACAGTGCTTTGAAGGTGCATTAATTGAGGATGGTTACCAATTTTCCATACCATTTTCTTGGCCCTGTAGTCCTTACTCGCAATGTTGGAATAAGATGGACTACCTTGCAGGGCTGTTGTGAGTCCCCAGCTCTCAGATCCAGGCCCCACAAACTGTAGCGCCAGAATCACAACTTTAGGCTGTATTTGCATTGATTGGGGAGGAGGAGCATTTAAATATAAGTCCCTAAACATTTTCTGCACTACATGAAAGCTGAGTCATAAAGAAAACAGAGTCCCGTCTTTATGTCTTACTGGTTTTGTTCCAGGAGAGGAAAATGTGCTTCCACAGCATCACTCCACACCTCTTTTGTTTGTTTGTTTGTTTTTTTGGCGAGGGGCGCTTTATTGGCCACCTGTCCGATGGAAAACTGGAAAACTTGCACATTATTTCTAGTAAGTTGTCCCACTAAAGAGAATTACTCAGACATGGAAATTGCAATTTTGGATTTTTCTGTTGTTCCTAAAGGCAACGGTCTCTCTTCTTCCGCAGGGAAGCGAACAAAAAAATGCAGGAAAGTCAGCCGCCGGGCGAAGGATTCGGCTGTCCCCGGCTATATTCTTTCTAAGGCGGCTTTTAACGAACGAGCCGCGCAGAGCCGCCTTCTCCAAACCTTGAGCCTTCCAGACACGTTTGGACTGCAACACCCAGAATTCCCAGTCGGTGGCTCTGCTGGGTGGGGATTCTGGGAGTTGCGGTCCAGATGCCTCCGAAGGCCACCAGGTAGGGGAAGGCTGGCGTAGAGACGGCAGAGAGAAAGGGCGGCGGCGGCACCCGTGGCTTCATTTTCGCGGCTGCGCATGCGCGCCCGCATTTCCGTCCAGGGGAGGCTGGCGCGCTTGCGCAGTGGGGCGGCGCGGATCGTGGAGGCCATGGCGGCGATGGACGCGGGGAAGATGGCGTCCCCCAAAAGCGTCCCCAAGGATGCTCAGGTGCGGCCGGGGGGGAGAGGCGAGGGCCGGGGGCGCTTCCCGGGGAGGCCGCGGCCGAGCAGCAGCAGCGCCGTGTGTGGCGGAGCCCTGTGCGGCCCCGAGGCCGGCGCCGTTTGTCTGCCCCGCTCAGCCGCCCCCAGCCTGCTGCCCGCCCGCCCGCACGACGCGCTGCACCGCGGCTGGCTGGGGGATGCTGGGAGTTGGAGTCCGCACATCTGGAGAAGAGGCGCCAGGTTGGGGAAGGCTGAGGAGGAGGTTTTGACTCTTGCAAAGCATTGGCGGGCTTCCTTTAAGTTTTGTGTTTGCCAGGGCTTCAGGTGCCTTTCACAGCTGCGAAATGTAAGACGTTCGGGGAGTAAAATCTCCCAACCAGCCATTCCTCCACCAATCTCTCTGCTTCTGCCCATTGGAAAGGCTCTCCTTGTTGAATTTCTGCCTGTCTGGCAGTGTATTGGGGGTGTTGGGGCAACCTGCATGTGCAGCCCCGATTCATTCCACTGCTTTGCCACTGCTGGTGTTTGTGTGTGATGAGGGTACTGGTGATTTAGTTCCGGGCAATTTCACCTTAAGTTGTGTTCTGAAATATTCCAGTTCTTTGTGGAATTAGGCTCTTGCAGTTTGCAGAAAGGTGAATTTAATGAGGTGATGAATTTCTGTTGTCCGGATTAAAACAACGACAGCTATTGTGTTAGAGGGTCTCTTTGTTAAGCCTTAGAGTGTTTACTTGTGCCAGATAAACAAGTTGCAGCAAATCTTGTAAATGAACACGCTCTGGCTTAAAAAGCTGGACGTCATGCAGCTTCCCCCAGTGTGGTGCCCTCTAGATGTATTGGACTGCAGGGCCCATCATTCCCACCCAGCATGACCATCAGGGTGCAGTGATGGGAGCTGTAGGCCAACGTGTCCGAAAACTACCCATTGGGGTGGCTGATGCACCTTTCAGGCGCATTCAGACCAAGCTCTTTTGTCAGCATTATAAGAAGAGTCTCAGCTAGAAGGTACAGGGAGAAGAGAAATTTCAAAATTAGAGGAAATGCTTTAGACTTGCCTGGTTTGGGTACCTAAAGGAGCGCCTGCGTCCATATGTGCCCTCCCGCCCCTTGAGATCTGCGGCAGAGGCCCTTCTCTGGGAGCCTTCCGTGAAAGATATTAGGAGGGTGAGTACCCGGAGGAGGGCCTTCTCTGTGGTGGCGCCCCACCTGTGGAATGCGCTCCCCAGAGAGGTCCGCCTGGCACTGCCGTTATTTGCTTTTCGGTGGCAGGCCAAGACCTTTTTATTTGGACGCTATTTTAACTGTTGATTTTATTTATTGATTTTAGATCTGTGGCCAGGATGTCTCCAGTATTTTATGTATTTTGTATAGAAATATATTTATGTATGTATTGGAAGCCTCCCCGAGGCTTACGCGAATGGGGCGGCATACGAGTTGTCCAGATAAATAAAAAATAAATACATTTTCTAGACCTGTGCGGTATAAGAAGTATGTTTGCTGGTGACATTTGCTGGATGCAAACATTTCCTTTTCTTTTGGGCAGGTGATGGCACAGATTCTGAAAGACATGGGGATTACGGAGTATGAGCCGCGTGTTATAAACCAGATGCTGGAATTCGCCTATCGTGAGTATATCTCCTTGCATTTTCATTGATGTACTGGGAGTTCTCACTTCCCTTACACTGAGTGTCTGGATATGTAGGTTATTGATGTGAGCCATTGTCTGAAAAGCGGATAAAAACACCCTTTAAAAAGGTACAGGAGAGGCTAAGAATGGAATTCTTTTCCTTGGCTGGTTTGCTCTTGCTGCTGAATCCTGGCCTGGTAGAAGGATCTTAAAATGGAGCGCTTTCTGTAGAAGCATCAGATACGGTGTTGGGGAGGGGAAGATGGACTGTCTTGGTGCTTTTTGAGCCCAGCTAAAATTTCAGGCTTAAGGAACTAGAATCCTGCAGTGTGGTTGGCATGGTGACTTTGGATCATTTGCTCAATTATCTTCACCATCATTTTAAATACTATTAATTCAGTTTCTGTACTGGCTAATAGCTGAAGCTCTCTGGGTGACAAACGGTGATGAGAGCCAGTGAGTATAATGATGGAGAATGTGGGACCGGGACTCAGGTGATCCGGGTTCTAGTCCCCGCTCAGCCATGGAGCCAACTGGGTGGCTTTGGGCCAGTTGCAGACTCTCAGACCAGCCTACCTCACAGGGTTGTTGTTGTTGCGGGGATAAGATGGAGAGGAGGAGAATGACGCAAGCTGCCTTGAGTTTCTTGAATGGAAGAAAGGTGGGATATAACTAGAATAAATAAATGAAGCTTCTGCCGTGATCTTAGCACAAGAATTATTTTGCAGCCCGATTTACCTTGCAGGCTTGCTGTGAAGTGAAAAAGAGAGTAAATTGATGCAACTGGAACCCAGGATCTGCTTCCTGACATGGGCCATCCCGTACAACAAGACAGCTGCTTTCTTGTTGGTGTTGTTCAGGGGCCACTTGGTTCAAGAGCGGAACAGACAGCATGCTTAGGGGAACATACTTTCCTGTCAGGAACCCCAAACAGCAGCAAGCAGACTGCTTTGGTCACTGCACGGTGCTGCTTCTCAGGCTCAGCCTGAGCTGAGGTTCCGCCGAGAGAGAAGGGACATTCCCCGACTTCTATCGGCATACCTACCAAGTTGCACCTGGCATTGATTACCATTGGAGGGGAAAGAGATGATAAATTGTCTGAACAAGGCCAGATACCCTGGGTAAGAATACCCAGCACTTGTCAGAGATGAAGATTACTCTTCATCCTCCCCAAACTCTTGCTCCAGGTGCAATCTAAAGAACGTGCCAGCCCTGATGCCAAGATTACATCAATTAATATTACAGGACATTAAGCAAGATTCTTCTTTTCTCAGCAAAATAGCAAGTTCAACCAAAGTAGCAAGAATTTGGTCCTTTGCCTGGGACTGGGCGTAGGATGGAGGGACTGTGGCACATGCTAACTCCTCAAATAGCCCTCTGTGTGGCCGCTGCATGACCACCCCCGTTGTCCCCCCGGCCTGCTTGTGGCCACAGCAGGACCAGAACGCTGGACTCACTGGGCCTGGGCCAGAACCAGATGAAACTGTGTGTGTGTCCCCTCCTTTTATCTGGACTCCTCTGAACAGCCTCCCTCTTCCGTGGAGATCTAGGGCTCCACCCCAGCCACCCTTCTGATTTTTGGATTTTTTTTCCTGCTAGGATACGTGACCACCATCTTGGAAGATGCCAAGATCTATTCGAGCCATGCGAAGAAGTCCAGCGTGGATGCAGATGATGTCAGGCTGGCCATCCAGTGCCGGACAGACCAGGCATTCACCTCTCCTCCCCCCAGAGACGTACGTGTTGGAAGGGCAGAATTCTTGGTATTTGTACCAGGGTGTCCACGGACATAGTTCTGCCACATGAGCGGCAGTTCTCTGCCCCACGGAGACTGCAGTCCAAATTGCTACAGTGGAGATGATGGGGGTGGATGTGGGGCAACCAACAGAGGGAGGTGGGTGTGGAGGTCTTGTGGCGCTCAGGGGCAGAAGATTCAGGACAGACGGAAGGGCTTTTCACGGGGCAGAGTTAAACTATGGAATTTTAATAGTTAAGCTATAAACTATGGAATGTGGAAACTGTGGAACCTTGTGGAAGAGATCCTGAGGGCTCCCAGGTTGGGAGGTTCTCAGCCAGGACTGGACAGACGAGGGAGGCAGAGAGAGCGTCCTGGTGGCCTGTGCTGCCTCCCGGATCAGAGGCAGTGGCCTCATGCTCCCCAGCTGCTGGGGCACCTGGGCAGGGGAGAGCCTTTCGGATTCTGTGTGCAGCTGGCCAGCTGCTGAGCAAACAGAGCACTGGACTGGACGCCCCCTTGAGGTTCTAAAGAGGGGAGGCAGAAGTGTGCAGGGCTGCAGCTCTGGCTGGTGTCAGGTTCTGCTCTCATGGGAAGATTTTATTTTATTTTATTTTATTTTATTTTATTTTATATTTTATATATTTTATATATTTTATATTTTTTATATTTTATTTTATTTTATTTTTATTTTATTTATTTATTTATAACATTTCTATGCCGCCCCATTCGCAAAAAGCCTCGGGGCAGCTTACAGAACAGACGCCATTTGCACAATTATCTTTAAAAATTTTGGAGACATTTTGGCACAATATAAAACTCAATATAAAACCCAATAAATAATCAATTAACAATTAAAATAACTTTTAAATAAAAAGGTCTTGGCCTGGCACCGAAAAACAAATAGCGACGGCGCCAGGCGGACCTCTCTGGGGAGCGCATTCCACAGGTGGGGCGCCACCACAGAGAAGGCCCTCCTCCGGGTACTCACCCTCCTGTTATCTTTCACGGAGGGCTATCGGAGGAGGGCCTCTGCCGCCGAAGATACCAGAGAGATGCAGGCAGATCTGCAAAGTGAGAACTGCTGTGACTTTGGCCACTTGGGGGGTTCTGGATGCTCACAGGCCTGAATCACGGTCCTGGTAACTCTCCCAACTTGCTTCTGGATTCCCAGGGTTCTTACATGTATCTGGAGTGGGTTGGTGGTCCTTTGATCAGGAACCGCCTTTGGATCTAGGTCCAGTTCCTGGGAGTTGCTGTCCTTCAGGACAGCTTGGTGCCTCTTGGGTTCCTCCCAAGGCTGCAGTGGAGATCCAGGGCAGCCCCCCCCCCCCGGGGCACCCTCCTCACCTCCTGTCTGTCCTTTGCTTTGGTGCCTCAACTGGCATCTTTGCACACAATCTCCTCCTCCCCCCCGGAAACAGAAATGGCACACTCAGGCCTTCTCGCCACCACACCATTTGCAGTTCGAAGAAAGCAAGGTGTCCTGCTTGCGCAAACAGCGCTCCACCTATTTTGATAAATAGGATGCTGCTTAACTTTGCAAACTGCCTGGATAAGCAATGGGATGCCTGAGATTCTGACCATTTGAGAAGGTGCTTGGGGTATCATTAATATCCAGGTATGGGATTACTGACTATAGTTCTTGGGTAAGCAGCCTGAGACATTCTTAGGCCTTTGTCCTTCTAAGACAAGAAAGGCACCTTTCTACTAACCTGCACTGGTGGTATTTCTACCGGGAATCACAAGGTTAAAGTAAGAATACTTTCCTTTACACAGTTAGAGATTTAACATGTTTAAAGAAACAGAAATATGACAGGAGTTTTCACTGGGGGCACCCTGGTTCTGGAATGTCTTCCCTAGAGGGTCTCACCTGGTGCCCTTGATGCCACGTGAAGCCCTTTTGATTTTCCTGACCTTGCTTTTGAACCTTTTAAGCTCTGTTTTTAACGCTGAAAGGTTTTCTGTTTCATCAGGTGATATCCTGGGGTTTCGACTTGTGAACCATCAGGGACCGGTATAGGGGATGGTACAGAAATGTGTTAAAGCAACATCTCGCTCTCTTTTCAATCAGTTTTTGCTAGATATCGCAAGGCAAAAGAACCAAACCCCTCTGCCGCTTATTAAGCCGTACTCCGGCCCGAGGCTGCCACCAGATCGATACTGCCTTACAGCACCGAATTACAGGCTGAAGTCCCTGCAGAAAAAGGTAAGCCTTCGCAGGTGTGTCTCCTTCATCAGAGGAATTGCCAGCAGGCATGCTTTTCATGCCAGGGTGGGAAAACTTGTTGAGAAACCGCAAGTTTATGTGTGTATTTTATCAATACCCCACTTTTTTTCTTCCGAGGAGCTCAGGGCGGCTCATATTTCTCCTCTTCCTCTCCATGCTACCCTCAAAACAGCAGCCCTGTGAGGTAGGCTGGGCTGAGATCCCGCGACTGGCCCCAAGTCGCCCGGTTGGCTCCATGGCCAAGCGGGGACTACAGCCCAGGCTCTGAGTGGCTTCTATGCAAAGGATGGAAACATAGCAATATATACTGCAGCAAAACAGTAAATGCTTGAAACGTAGCCCAGCAGCACGATGGCGCGAATGAGCTGACGCAAGAGTGGCGGCAGCAGCTCCAGGCCGGGGCAGAGCGGTTGCGAGGCGGGAGCGGAACAGCCCCACCAGAGGCTGATCCCCCCCGCCCCCCCCCCGGCTGCCTTCGGATGTGGTGCTCAGCCCTTTTGTCGGCGTTGCTTCTCTCCAGGTGGCGGCTTCCGCCGGAAGGATCACCGTGCCGCGACTGAGCGTGGGCGCCGTCACCAGCAGGCCCAGCACCCCCACTTTAGGCAAGTTGTGTATTTTGCAGGGCCGATCCTGCAATCCCTTATTCTGTTCAGTATCTTCCCGCCAGCAGCTGCTCCTAAGATGAGAGAGAGGCTTTTGCAAACGTCTCTGACTTGGTGCTCTGACGTGTTGGACCACAGCTGGGGATGCTGGGAGCTGGAGTCTAACTCATCTGAAGGGCACCGGGTTGAGGGAGGCTGTGATAGAATATTTTGTACCTCGGGATGGACCCCTCTCTCTTCTGGTCTGGCAACCTTGCCCCACCCCGCAGCTGTGTTACCTGGGCTCTTAATGTAACCAGTGCGCCCGGGAAATTTAAACCCAGTGATCTGAATTTCAGGAACTCCTTCGGCCCAGGCGATGTCTGTTTCGGCAAAAGTTGGGACTCCTGTATCTCTGACAGGCCAGCGGTTCACCGTGCAGATCCCCACTTCTCAGACGTCAGTCAAATCAGGTTAGAATACGCCGCGCTCCCGATGAGACTTGCTTGTGTGTGATTCTCCCAGAGTGCAGAACCACAGCCGTCTCTGTTGCACAAGGGCTTCTGAAGCGCTTGCGTGTGCAGGATGCGTGAGCAAACTCAGCTGCCGCTGCCCACGTGTAATTTTTCCTCGGCTGCTCTGCTGTATTGCGAGCCGCAGGGGCCTCACCACGGACAAGCTTCCCATCCCGCTACATTCTTGTCTTAAGCCCTTAGTTAAGCAGAAGTTCCTGCTTCTGGTCGTGAACAAGTGCAAGGAGCTGCACCTTTTCTAGGCCAGAGAAAGGCAGAGGGCCATCAGTGCTCCCTCCGTCATGTAGCTCCGTGCTGAAGTCGCCGGCATCTCTTTTTTGTAATCCATTCCTTTGCATTTCAATCCCACTCAGTCCTAAACCCCCTGGCCTGGTTCACAGCAAGGACAACCGTAAAATACAGCACAGTAAAACGGAATGAACAGAGCCGTACTCTCGGGGAAGGAAAAGAAACCACGGGGACTTGTTTTCCCGGTCCTGCTTGTGCTGGCGATTCTCCGCCTCATTTCTGGGATGACTTGCTCTCTGTGTGGTGTGCTGCTTTCACCTGGACATAGGGAGGTGGGCGGCTGGCATGGCTTCCAAACCATGGGTGGCATAGATAATTATGGACATCTGCCCTGGGTGACCGGTATATGTGGGGCAAGAAGAAGCCCCTTTTTGTATTACCATATCTTCAGTGAGTTATTTGAAACAGAAATGAATATTTATTTATTGTTTATTTAAAACTTTTTGATACTGTCTCTTTGCAGATGTCTCGGGATGGTTTACAACTCCTTTAATAAAATAAAATAATAGAAATAAGAATAGGAGTGACAGAGGCATCCGACGTTAAGTATAAAACCACCAATTAAAACAAATTAACAATTGAAATATTGGGAGAATACACTAGTGCACAATTCAATATTACATGAAAGGTCATAAAATGTCACAGATTTTTTTTATATTTTAGGTTACTGTATTATTATTATACTTGCAAATTATTTATTTTTAAAGACCCTGAGGGTCCTCTCTCAAGGCAGTGAAAGTGGAACCAAATAGGGGAATTGCACCAGTAAGCATTTTATGTTTGTTTTTAATGCCTTGAAAAAAAGATTCCCATGTGTCCATCACTAAGGCTATTTAAATGGAGTTTTAGTTTATTGGTTAGTTAAGTATTAAGTCTGCATGAACATTAGTTAATTGCCATCTTTTCCCCCCTCTTTGAAGCGACTCCCACTACCCCCACGGTCCAGAACGTGTTGATCAACCCGTCCCTCATCGGGTCCAAAAACATCCTCATAACCACCAACATGGTGTCATCACAGAGCACCTCGGGCGAGTCGAACCCTTTGAAGAGGAAGCACGAGGAGGAGGAGGATTACGACGCCCTGTGAAGGGGACTGCCGCAGTCCTGACGTGGCTGGTTCCCTTTGGACTGACGTGGGCGGATGCCTGTGGAAGGGGGCCACTCCGTTAAGGCTGTGCTCAGGGCGGAACGTACAGGCTGCGCCCTCCCGCTCTTAAGCGCCCCCTCCCTTCTCTCCTGAGACGTGGACACCGCGGGAGGAGGAGCCCTTGCAGTCCCTGGGTAGGGCTGCAGGAAAGCACCCTTGGCAAAGCAGAAAGCGGGGAGCAGCGCCCGCCTTTCCTTTGTGCAGGCGGCTTCCCCAGCATTGCCCTTGGGCTACCGGAGTGGCGCCCAGGTCTGCTCCATTTGAGACTGCAGGGGTGGGGTGGGGTGGGGTGGGGGAACGGTGCTTGAATTGGCTGAGCGGGGAGAAAGCCCAGGTTGGCAGGTGGGTTCCAGATGTAGCTTTACTTAGAGTAGCTCCGTTGGAAGGAACAGGCCACTGTTCTCATGCCTATCGTGTCCCTTTGATTTTGGTGGGCCTGCTTTAGGCATGGCCCCATCCTGCGCTGACCACGGCCTCCGAGGAGGGTGGCGTGAGTTAGCGAGCCCGGAATTCGGTCCATTCTGTGCTGAAGTGACGCATCCCGGCCGTTTGGGAGGGAACGGGCTCTTTCTGGATGAAGACGAGAGGAAGCAGAATCCTCAGCATGAGGGTTTTCTCGTCAGAGGGCCGCTGTGGAAACCCCCGCAGCATAAACAGGAGAGCGGGGCGGGTGCAGACCACCTAAATGCATTTGAGACTGCCATCCAGTTTGGGCCACGGTGGATGATGTGGAAGAGGGCCAGGTGGGGACGGGGGTGTTCCTGGGGTGGCTTCAGAGTGGCGGCAGAGTTGTGTCCAGGGGCAGTTTGGCTTTACAGGAGTAGTTAACAGGTGGGGACCAGTTCCCGAGCTGCCCTTCACCCAATTTCGGAGTATGAGAATACATCAGAATCGCTTCTCGTTTGCCACTTAGATGGCTGCATTCCCACTGTGAAGGGGTGGTCGTGTCGGTCTGCCTGTAGAAGAAAAAAACCAAAGGCCACACCCCGCTTCTGGCTTCCTTAACCGTTGTAAGGAAATCTCCGTTTTGCTGTTGTAATTCTAAGAGGACGTTTTCTTAAAACCGACTTACTGGTCTCGTTCGCTTTGTTCATGTGAGATGCGATCTCCACCCCTGTCAGTGGATGGAAAGCCCCAGCAAGGCCGTGGCATTTTCTAAGACGAGGAGAACGTTTCCATGCAGCGTTGCAACGCTTTCTTCTGATCCGATGGAGAGAGGATTCCATAGATGGAAGTTCTCGGCTGCTCCGCTTGCCCCCATGATGGAGCTATACAAAGAGCCTGATGATTCCTCCTGTGTGGGAAGGAGGCCTTCCCAGTTGCAAAGGGGTTGGAAGCCCTGCTGTGCAGGGCAGCCGCTGGCACTGGGTAACAGGGAGACTTTGGGTGCTGCCTAAGCCCGCACCTCAGCATCCCACAGTCCTGCTTTAGTTGCATGGGCAGGGGGTGTTCTTCCTGCCAGGGAATGGCTGAAAATAGATGTTTTCCTTCTCTGCCAGCCAACTTCCTATGCTTACTAGTCAATCCAGTGGAAAGATGGGACAGGAAATAAATCTGGCTTCCCAAAGAAAATGGGTGGATCCAGAAAGGCTATGGCCTTTTCGCATGGAGATGCCATTCCTGAACTCTCCCCACTAGCTGGCTTTGCTGAAGGAAAGCAGATGGATGTCAGTTTTCCTCCACCCCGCAATTGCTGCTTCTTTGTGTGATGTGTCATTTTAGACCCTAAACATGGAGCCAGGACCTGTCCTGTTTGATTGATTATATATAAGCCACCCACGTCTTTTCAAGTTAGGAGCAGCATAAAAATACTTCAAATGAATATTTGAAGAGGGGCTCCTCCATTCGGCACAGAATATACATGGCAGCTACACCCAGCCTTGCTGAGTGGGCCAAGTAGGAGGAGAAACCCAGGCAACACTCGCTTTGCTCCACTGTTAAGAAAAAAAGTATCTGGCAGCACGTAACTCTGAAGTTGGTGCTGTTACATAGTGAAATCAGTAAATAATCTCAGAACACCCACAAGGGCATTAAGGTATATATTTGCTCCTCAAAACTACAGAAACTTCAGTGTTATCTCTGAAATTCAGTATTTCCGTAATGACAGGAGCACTGCTAACACTAATTCTCCAGTTAACAATAGAATTAGCACTGTTGGTATAGACAAAAATGCATTTTATTATTACAGCTTTCACCTAATACAGATGGGAGATTAATTTTATACATAGCAAAATGCAGAGGTTAAAATTGTAGAGGCTCAAAAGATTTTCAGAGAGGAGTTAAGGCTTGGGACTGAGAACAAGAAGTAAGAGCCATAGGGGGAAAGTAGATGAGAATTGGTAAAGCAAAATTGACAGCATGTGTCCATTCAAGCACATCCACCAAGGGGAAGGTGTTGGAGAGAGCAGGCTGGCTTCCTGCACTGAAGGACAACAGGAGCCGACCCTTACTAGACAAGATAAGCTTGAGATTTGACACAGATTCCATACCCCCGCCCCACACTCACAGTTAATGTCGTAGCAGCTCCTCTCAGCGGAATACAAGTGCTATTTCCTTGGCTTTGTTTTTCTATTCTATGGGATCTTTGAAATTTCTGAACTGCGACCCCCTGGGTATACAGACACTTTCAGAGGAGCCCTTAAGGAAAGCAGCCAGCTATTGGCTCTCGGCCCGCTGGCCCCTTGGCCTGTTACACCAGGCCTGCCTGTCATGCGCCCCTCCAGCACAGGTCCTTCCATGGGGGAGGGTGCTGTGGGGTGGGTGCTCCCGCAGAGCCATCCAGGGAGCACAACGCAAGGGTATTCGTAAAAATCCATTTATTCCAAAAAATTCTATACACTATAAAATTAGACGAACCCTCGGGCTTGCTTGTCTACAGTCTAAGCATCACCGACACCAAACGTGCTGGCCTCACTAGGCATCACCGAATTTTCTTTGATGGGGGTGCAGCCCGAGAAGAAGCCGCTCGTGCTGTTCAGCATGCGCTTCCGCCTCTTCTTCACGGCCGCCTGTGGGTTCTCGCCAGCCACCGGGTGCCCAAGGGTGAAGAACGAGGTGGCGCCGCTTGCGGGAGGCAGGTTCTCCTGCTCGGCTGTTTCCTCCAAGATCTAGGTGGGGTGGTACAGGAAAAAGCACAGCGTCAGCCACGGAAGGGGAGTGGCGGCTTTGAAACGCCAGGCTAGGAACCTCGCTCCGTGGCTTGGAGGCTGAGCGGGGCACGCGCTCCTTTGTGCAGGAGTGACGTGGGAGCACCGCATGCCCGCACGGCAGCACAAAAACCAGCGTGCATGTCGTTCGGGTTGGCGTGACAGAAGCTCGTTTGCATCTCGGGGTGAAGCTGGAGCTGAGCAACGAGGGGGCGGGGCAAATGCCCCACCGCAGTTTCCCAGAAGCTGGGGGAAGGCGACAGGGTATGTGCATAAGCGCCAGGCGAGCGGAACCTCTCCGCTGGGGGCCCGCCTGTCAAACCCTCATGCTAGCCAGGTGTTCATTTTGGGGACCATCTGCTTCTCGAGCAGTGATTTCCGCTTGCCCTGCCCCTGGCCAGCGACCGCTCGGTGGACGGTTGCCTGCATCTGCCCCTGTGCTTCCCGCAGCCGAAGCCAGGCGACCCAAAGCTCGGCCACCCCCTGCCCTGACCACCAGCACCGGGTGCTCCGTTCCCACTGCTGCTCCAGGCTCACCTTCCTGGTGGGCGTGATTGCTGGAGGCTCAAAGAAGGTGTCTCCGCCAGTCACCAGCGTGGGATCTTCCAGGCTGAAGACGTGGTCCTTGAGCTCCCCCAGCTGCTCATCCATGAGCGTCGCCTCCTGAGGGCGGAAAGTCGGGGGTGAGTTTGTCTGGACTGAGCTCGACCAGATTCCTGTCACCCGCAACATTGATTTTACTGATTTCAGCTCGTGCATGCTGCCCGCTCGGCACAGGCCGCGGCGAGATGCCTGCCCCCAGAGAGGGTGCAACTACCTCTCTGTGAGGGGCATGATACTTCTGCGAGCACAGAACTGGAACGAAGCTGAAAGGTGCCAGGACTTGCACTGGTAAGATCACAGCCTGCCACAGGTTAGGCCCTGGACGGCCAGCACAGACTCACGGGGATGCTCGGGGCAAGGGGAGGCAAAGGCTGGAGGAACTTAAATGGGTGACGGAGGAAGGTGCCACCCGTGTGTGTCTGTATGAGCAAGCGGCACAAGGTGTTTAAATAGGAAAAAGACCTAAGTGTGCGACACGTGGCAGAAAAGGCACTCCTTTCTCATTCGTGCATCCCCTGAAGACACAGGTGGATGTATGAAGAAAACAAATACGCAGCGTTCCACTGACTGATCGGCCGAGGTATCTTTAACGCTCGTTTCGACCACCATGTCCCCCTCAGTGCCACAGTCCGGGCTCCCACCAGCTCAGACTTCTAGCGCTCTCGCTTGAAACTCTGCAGCCCCTGCGGGATCCTAGGTGAGCCCCTGAAGCAATTGCTCTGGCCGATTTTGGGACAGGGAGGCTGCTCCCGGCCGCCTGCTGCCCTGCAGAGGAAGAAGAAAGCTGCAGCACCGGCAGCCGCTCACCAAGAGGAAGTTCTCCCGGTTCCGACACTTCTCGGACTCGCAGCGGCAGTCCTCCGAGCAGGCCAGCTTCTGCTTCCGGCAGCCGCACTGCTTGTTCCCGCAGCGGCCTTTGCAGGTGCACTGCGAAAGGAGAGTGGTGTGAGAGGCCCCAGGGCACACACCCAAGAGGCACAGTGCCGAGGGCTTCCCGTGCAGCCCGTCAACCTGGAGGGCACAAGGCCTGGTGGGACGCAGGAACCCAAACGCCGAGAATGAGAGCAGCGGTGCTGCGGGTGGTGCTGCGGACGAAGCCGAGGCCTCACCCGAGGCCCTGGCACCCCAAAGGAAGGGGCATGCGCGATTTGCCTGGGTCCTCCCCGGCTGTCAGGGCTGATTATCCTACAGGGCCGCCTCGCACCTCTCCTGGCACATCGGGAGCAGACTGGTTGCTCAACCCTTTGTTTTGTTCCGGTTTATTCCCGAGAGTCCCAGGAGTTCTGCAAGAAGGTGGTAAGGATTTGCAGCAGACATCTGACAGCTGTCCAGAGCCGGCTGAGTGGTATTCAGATCAAAACTCTGGTAATTTCTCAGTGTGAAATGCCATGCTGACCAGCAAGAGGGCTTTAAGGAGATGACTGGGCAACCTCACAGAGGAGGAGATCGGTGGCTGTGAGGCTGAAGCCTCCATGATCAGGAGCAGTCTAGCCCTGGAGAGGAAGCAGATGCAGAAAAGGGGACCTGCCTTCCTGCCCTGCACTTGAGCCCCCACAGGAGCACTGTCAAAACAGGCTACTAAAACCAGGCGCACTTCGCCCCACTGCCAAGCAACGCTTGCTCTCGTTCAAACAGCTGCTTCTGCGCAGATTTCAGGGCGACTCAAGAAAGGTGCCTTCCCCACCATACTCATACCCCCAAAATGTTCTTCTTGATCCCTCGGGCGATTTTGGCCGGCACCCACTCAGCATCTTTTGTTTCTTCTTCCGACTCATCTGATTCGGAGAGCAGGTCCTCCATCTCGGATGCAGGCCGCGCGGTCGTTGGCCGGCGGAGCTTTGGCTGAAGGCAGACAGACAGACAGAGGGGAGACATAGGAATGTGTCAGGCTGGTGACTTCCAGGAGAATCCGGCAGGCCTGATGCGATGACGGCAGGAAGAGAGCAACTTGCTCAAGGCGCAAAAGATTTCGAGGGGAATCTCAGCCTCCGTCTCCCAAATCCGGCCCAGCAGTGCAAAACCTTCCCAGTTTGGGCCTGCATTTTGCAGTCACAGATGAGCAGAGCCATACTTTAAATTTAGTAAGCGCGCTAGCAGCATGAAGCCTTTGGACTGAGTTTCTAGGGCTACTCAGGGCGGCAGACTGGATACGTCGGCCCCACAGCACACGCACCTTGGGCGGGACGTAGTCGAAAGGGGACTCCGGGGTATCCGTGACTGCGGACTGAGCAATGCTGTGGATCTTCTGGCCACTGGCAGCTTGCAGAATCCTCAGTTTCTAGTGGGACAGAAGGGAGATTCTGAGCTGCGCTGTCGGACGGGGCAACCCCAACCCTGCCTGAGAGCAGCAGCCACCCGCAGGCCTACCTGCCGGACCATTTCCAGCTCTTCACAGAGCTCCTGGTTCTTCTCGAAGACCTCCTTCATCTTGGCCAGCTCTTCATCCTGTTGGCAGAAGAGGAAGGTAAGCGGAGACGTCCCAGGTGTGGGGCTGCTGCGGACGCAATGCGGGGTGTGCTATTCCAGCTCCAGCCCCGCATTCCGGGGCTCGAGGTTACCAGCTTGGGGCCCACTGCCTGCACCTGCTGCCTGAGAGGCTCCAGGCCGGGAAGGAGTCAGGCAAGCCCCGCAACTTCCATTCCGACAGTTTTCCAGTCCTCCCGTCTCCCTCCCTGCTTCCCCGCGATTTCTGCGAAGGAGAACGTGAGGAGAGCAGGAGGCGAGGGCAAGACGTGGCAGCACCCTGCCAGGAGGAGCGCCCTGCTCGACTGTCTTGTCAGGCAACGGGGACTGAGGCCCCGCGTGCCAAAGGGCAGTCCCAGAACCCGGCATGCCGTCAGAGGCCCCTTTTACCTGGAACTTGAGGCGTTCCAGGAGCTGCTCTTCCCGTTCCGAAATGGACACCTCGAGTTTTTTCTCTACTTCTTCTTTGTGTTGTATCTGGCTGAGCAGGTAGAGAACCTGAAGTGGGGAGGGGAAGAGGCGACACCTTAGAACGGGCAAAGATCGGAGGGAGGACACCGGTGCGCCCCCTGCCCTGCACAGCCGGACTCCATCAGCGAGCCAGCCAGAGGGAGAGACCCTCTGGCCGCGCGCCGAAAAGGCTCTGCGTTTCCCCTGCCGCGAGCTAAGGGGACGCTGGTTCCCCGATTCTTGCTGGGTTTATATTGTTGCTGTTGCATTGCATGGATCGCCCACAACTTTTCCTCTTGTGAAGAACCTGACGCGGCTTATGTGGCTGTTTTGGCCTCACAACAATCCTGTGAGGGAGGTCAGGCTGAGGGAAAGCTTGGCTGAAGTCACCCAGTGAGGTCCACTGCTGGATGAGGTCCGAGCCCAGATCTCCGGGGTCCCCAGCCCGACACGCTAACCCCTCACCATGCTGACTCTCCTGTACGTGGGTTTTACGTACACTGCAGCATTGAACACCAGTTAAGCATTTCATTCTATCTATTTTTGTAGATAAAGTTGGTGCTGCTTTTGCCAGGCACCCGGGTGGCAACCTCAGTGCCTCTTCTTCCCCCGTTTCTCCTTCACCTCCACTGCCTCCTTCCTGGGACAGGGAATTTGTGTGATGAGGTCATACAAGTGACAATTCCTGGCCAGGCCATGAGAGATGGCACATGGGCTCCCTTGGAACCAGAATCAGAGCCAGAATGAACAGGGAGCAAGACTCTGGCCTCAGCCTCCGAGGCCTCGTCCTCAAGGGCGGGGCCTGCGCAGCTTGCCTTGTCCTGCCCCCAAGCCCACGGCTGCAGAAAACCGTCTGCCCCTTCGCCAGGCCAGGCCACTGCTGTGGAGCGCGAAGCAACGACAGACCCGCACACACACCAAGCCCGCAGTCCAGACAGGGGCGGCTCCAGTGCCCTCTGGGCTCCACGGCCAGAGAGCTGCATGCCCGCTGTGAGGAGGGCGCACCGAAGACGCTGCGCCTGGCCTCGTCGAACAACGGGGGAGTGCGCCCGGCCACACCTGTTCAGCTGCGTGCAGACACAAACCGGCGTGGGGAAATGAGGCGGAAGGGCCCCCAGCTGGTTTGCAAACGGACTGCTTGCAGAAGGCAGAGCCAGGCTCTGGACCAAGCGTCTGGGGGAAAGCTTTGTGTCTCTGAGCGGCGAGACCGCTGGGCTGGGCAGGGCTGGGCAAGCCTCGAGTCCCCACCGCTCGCCGAGGCAGGCGGCAGATACCTTCTCCTGATGCTCCTGCTCCAGCTGCACGAGTCGGCGCTCGCGCTCGCCCTCCAACTCGGCCACGGCTTTCCGCTCCTCGAGGAGCATCTTGTGCACGTCGGCGCAGGTGGCCTTGCTCTGCTGCAGCCGGCTCTCCAGTTTCCCGTCTTCCACTTTGGAGGAGACCAGCTTAAAAACAGAAGCCCCAGCCAAGGGCAGGGTTGCAAAGGCCCCGTGAGGGATTTCCGTTTCGCGGAGGGGTGTCCACACCCTCCAGACTATGAACCGGTGCTGGACGGCGAGTGCCAGAAACAAGCAGGAACCCCGGCTCGCTCACCTCCCCGCCTTCGGTCATCAGACCTGAAGAGGGGGCCTTAGGCCGCGTCGGTCCCTGGGTGGTTGGCAGGGACCGGCAGCCACGGCTCCTCCTCCAGGCGGGGTTCCTCCCAGCCCTACCAAACCCCAACCCTCTGCACACCAAGTGGGGGCCCCGCCCCCTAACTCACCTCGCCGATCAGGTACTTGATGGCGCACTTGGCTTCCGGGATGGTGGCGATGCTTTCCCAGCGCTGCTTGCTGCGGTCGGCGGTGTCCGCATCCAGCAGCTTCTGCTGCAGGTCCGCGATCTGGGCGCTCCTTTGGAGGAAGCGATCGATCGCATGGGCTCACAGGCCATTGCTCAGCAGAGCAGAGCAGAGCCCGTGGGGCGTAAGGGCGGGCTGCCCCCCTGCTTGATGGAAGCCCTGCTAGGCTGGCTGCTTCCTTTCTCTGGGAAGCGCCTCTGACCAGGGAAGCGCCTCATCTGCCCAACAGGCTGGAGTGAAAATGAAGGCTCCCCTCCCGCTGGCTCTCCAGAGGGTACGGGGGCAGCAAGTCATGGCTTGGCTGGGGCCCTTGGGCAAACAGTCCGCTTGGAGGAATCACGTGTTTCTGCCAGGATTCCCAAAGGTGATGCTGAGAGCAGAGGGGCAGAAGAAGAGTGGCCCCCACCCCTGGTCCCCGGCACATACATCACGACCATTCGCTCCCCGCGTGGTTTAAAGATTTGAGGCACAAGGGAAATTAGGGTAGCCTGAGACAACTCCCCCCACCCCCTGATCACAGGGTTTGGCGCCGGGGCAAGGCACGGCTCAGTTCTATTTGCAAGAAATCTCACGGCAGCCTTCCTGGCCGCCTCCTCCCCTGGCTTCATCCCAGCATTCCGGGCCTCTGGAATGGCCACAGCGGCGCTTCCGTGTAGCGAGTTTAGAACGAGCAGGTGAGCACCAAGCCAATGTGTGCAGTCCTGAGCCACTGATTCCAATGGCTCAACACGGGGAGGAGATCAAAATTCATGGACTGGATGGGTCTGCAGCGTCCGGCTTTGCTCGTCAGAACGTCCGGACTTCCCCGTACCTGAGCTCCATCTCTTTCTCCAGGCTCTCGATCTGCTTGGTGATGGAAGCGTTCATTTCCACAGCTCTGTGGGAGTACGTGCGCCTCTGCAGGGAGGGATGGAGAGGAAAATCGGAAATAAGAACGGAAGCTCAGGAGTGGTGCCTTCAGCTAAGGAAGGCGCCCTGGTGGCTTCTGGAAAGACGGGCCTGTGACTCCACCCCCCCCCCCCCCCGCTCCTGCAAAGCAGAAGGAGATTAATCCTGGAGGCAAGACCTCACCAGCCGGTGGAAGCCCTGCCCTTCAGAGGCAGCTGGGAGGCATCTCCCCCGGCAGGGTGCCCCCTCCAAAGCAAGAGGAGCCCCATTCCTTAGGGCCGGCTCCTCTGCTTCAGGCCACATCATGGCGCCGCTCACCTTATATTTTGTGGGCAGGTTCTCCCCGGCGTCGCGCTTCTCCTTAAGAGACGCGATCTCCTCCGCCAAGGTTTTTCGATCCTCGAGAAGGTCATTGAGGTGGCCCCGAGCCTCTTCTATACTAACGAGGATCTCGACCTCATTCGCAAGCCAGCTCTGGACGCAAAGGAAACCCAGTTACAGCAAAGGCCCTTCGGGGCACAGAGGGACGCGCCCCTGGGTCTTCCGGTGCTTGGGGCGCGCCCAGCGTGAGCCCGTGCAGTTGAGCCTCGTCCTGCTTCTCCTCCTATGACTCAGCCTTGGCATCAGCCTCCTGAATTCAGCCTCACCTTTACTCGGGCAGCGATCCCTTCGATGCCACGGTTTTGGCTCTCTTTCCTTTTGTCAACAGCCTCTCGCTGCTTCTGCAGAGCGTCCTTCAAGCGCTTGTTTGCCGCCGCGGCCTACGAAAGCAGAGGTCGGACCGGGGCTTGACAGGGCCAGGTTCAGACCCCTCGGCTAGACCAGGAAGCCCTTGTCCGGCTGGGTGACCACACCAGTCCTTTGGGAGGGTTACAGGCAGGGAAGGTGGAGGAGGAGGAACCGTGGGACGCGATCTTGGATAAGCGTGTAGCAAGATGATATTACACTGAGAGGACACTTGTCCTCCTGCCCGCCTGCCCTCCACAAGTGGACACAGAAGGCAGCAATCCAGGTGCACCTGCTTTGAAATAAAGGCTCTAAGCCAGCAGAGACAGGGGTGAAAACTAGGCAGGGACTGTGTCATGTCAGGGAGGAGAGATGCTGCTTGACCTCTGGCCCCAAACCCACTGATTTCCCGACTACGCAAGGCCCAGGTCCACCCAGCCCAGGAAGGTCCATGCGGACGGGCATCCCGGGTTCAGGCAGGGGCTCTCCTGCCTCCACCTGGAGCAGCTGCTGGGGATGGAGGAGAGGAGCTGTGCAGGCAAAGCAGAGCCCCCATCATGGAGACAATGTGCCCTGCGTGGCGGAACCGAATCTGCGTACCGAGCTGGAACCCGCAACACAGCCGGAGGCCGGGATCTCTCGTCTGACCCCCTTAACTCCCTTCTGATGTGCAGAATTACAGGACCCCATGCTGGGAGCGCTTTGGCAGAGATGGAGGCAGAGCCCAGGGCCCAGTCTGCCTAATCGCTGCAGGTCAGTTAAAAGCCGCGAGGCTTCGGAAGGGGGAAAGGAAAATCAGGCTGCCCCTGACGGCTCACCTCCTCCGCTTTCCGCCGGAGGACAGTGGCTTGCTTCTGGAAGTCCTGCTCCAGCTTGATGAGTTCGTATTGCCTCTTGCGATCCTGAAAGAGAAATAGGGGCGATGGTGCCTGTCCAATCCCAACACGCTGCCCCTCACCAGGCAAGATAAAGGGCCGGGATGGTCTGCAGCACAAGCTGCCGGCCAACTCGGCAAAGGCTGCGCTTCGCTCCGCGAAGAAGAGGCATAGCGGCCGAGATGCCAAGACCTCACCCGGCCGTCGGAAATGCTCGGAAGTCAGGATCCACACCATTCTGTGTCGAGCGATCGCTGGAGAACATTTACAGGCAGATGTGAGCCAGCACAGGATCTGCCACTCATGGTCATCTGGACCATCTTTCCCGTAGGGCAATATTTAAAAATTTAAAGGTACAGCAGCACCAAAAAGGAAAGCAAAGAGGAGGCATTTCCTCCTGTGCAAGGGAAGTTCTCATGTCACCGAGTCAGCGCATTTCTGGTATAAACCTCTTACGAGAAGCACAGTCTAGGAGTCAGTGCAATTCTCTCCCAATGTAAACCAGCCCGGGTTCATCATAGCTACTTGTGCCAGGAGAGCCGATTTGGTACCCAGACATTCAGAGATGCTGCTCCTTGGCCAGACTCACCCGCTCCCGCAGCTGGATCACCTCCTTGTCCTTCTGCTGCTTCCACTGCCTAAATTTCTCAGCATCATCTTTCATCTGACGGATGAGCTGAACTCGCTGGCTCTTCATTGCCTGCAAAAGGAACAAGAGGGAGAGGCGTAAGAACTGACACGGTGTAGAGTCTGAGTGCGCAGGGAGAGAGACTCTTGGAAGCCCTGTCCTTGTTAAAATGGGCCACACACTGGAATAAAAACAAAAAGGTTTTGAGGATGTGACCTCTGTTTTCTGAGGCTGCAGCTGGGAGCCGGAAGGCTTACAGCCCTCCAGCTTCTTCACAAAACTTCTATACAGCTTTTGGCAAGCTATTCTCACCTTGATGATATCATTAAACCAAGACATTGGAATGAGTTCATTGAAAACTAGAACTATTCCAGGCTCCCACGATGGAAGGAGCAACCTGCAAACATTGTCTTTTTACACAACACTTAATGACCACTACAGTGGGAACATGCAAATTACAGAGTTATCCACAAGCACAAACCAAGACGGTGCTTGGTGGTTCCCCTTTGCCGCCCCCTCGTCCCCTCCCCTCCCCGAAGTGCCAGTGTTACGTACCCGGATCTCCTGGTTCAGCTTGGACACTGTCTGCTCACTGGATTCTTTCATCTTCAGAAGCTTTGACTGCTCCTTCAGTTTCTTCTTCAGATCCGTCATTTCCCCTTCGAGCTCCTGAAGCCGTTTCCTGCGGCGTTCGCTCAGCCTGAGAGGACGATTTATTTATTTATTTATTTATTTATTTATTTATTTATTTATCGATTTATATCCTGCCTTTTTCCTACAAAGGGCTCAAGGCAGCTTACATCATCTCTCCTCCTCCATCTTATCCCCACAACAACCCTGCAAGGTAGGTTGGGCTAAAGAGTCTGTGACTGGCCCAAAGTCACCCAGTTGGCTCCATGGCTGAGTGGGGACTTGAACCCGGATCGTCTGAGTCCCAGTCCCATGCTCTTAACCACCACACCGGCTCTCAGACATCACAGCTCTAACCCCGCAGCTCAGGCGGCCTTCCAGCCCCATGCCCTTCCCCCCCCAATTCCCAACTCTGTGTCTCTCACTTTGCCTGAGTGACATCCTTCTTTGTCATGTGAAGCGCAACGACCAGGTCCTCCTTCTCCTTCTGCAGCTTGGCAACCTGCCCTTCCAGGTCTTTGATGTTGGTCTGCATTTACGAACACAGGCATGTCTCAGCCTCTCTTTCACCTGTCCTCACATTTCGGAACCAGATGCTAAAAAGCTCTTGCCAGAAAGCACTACGTTCTCCCGGCAGGCTGCATTTCCACTAGCAAAAGGGGAGGGTGGCGAGATCAGCCGCCCACGGCTTGCGAGGCACCCGACACGGAAGCCCGCCGGGTACCACTGCGCATCCCCTTCTGGCCAGTGGCATTACCTGGTACAGGTGCTGGATGGGCTCCAGCTGACTGTCGTTCTGAGACATCTTCTTGGCCAGGGCCTCCTTCAGAGCCAGGGCTTTGTTGAGCTCCAGCAGCTCTTTGGACATCTGGGCCTGGTGGAGCGCGTGACGCGTGGCGTACTCCTCGGAGGACTGCTGCACGTCTAGGTCAGCCTCTGAAGCCTGGAAGAGAGCACATGGACTGCCGGCGTGGCCAAGACAGCCCTGCCCCAGCAGGGGAGCGCCTGCCACTGTGACTGTGCTTGTGGGAGCGCCCGATGGCTGCTCTGCAGCATCTTCGCTGGGCCACAGAAGCCTGACACGAAGAGCCGGCTCACTGCTGCCTCCACGGAGCAGGCCTGCGACCTTCTGGGCCCCAAGGACTGCACAGGGTGCCGGCTCAGGGGCCGTGCACGTGCCCCTCTTCACCGCCACCAGAGACCCTGATCACAGCTGCTGGCAGCACAGGGAAAGGGTGAGCAGGACAAGAGTCTCCGTGTGGGGTGGGGGAACCTAGAACACAGGCAGAACTCTCCTGCAGCAACCTCTGGGGCCGGAGGGGCAGCCTTGGAGGGCCCTGTGCAGGCTGCTGGTTGCGCACCCCTGCCCTGGAGTGTCTGAAGCAAGAATGGTTCCAGCAAATAACTCGGCCTGTAGTTGTAAGAACAAGCCCTAGCACATGGGCTAATTCCAGTTTAGGCAGGCGCAGCACCCATGTGTGTGATGCACAGAGGCCACGACGAAGAAATCAGTGTTCCATTTACAAGGGCTCTGCCATCATTTCCCAAGACTGGCTGCACAGCCATGACGACTAAAGCACTCGCTGAACAGTTATATACCCGTCTGCTCAGAAGTGAGCCCCACCTGGCCAGTGGTGCCAACTTCCAGGGAAGTAGAGTGCGTTGCCTTAAGAAGTCAATGCCACATGCCTCGAAATTGAAACTAACTCTTCCCAAAAGTGGAAACACTGGAAACTTCTGCCTGTATTAACAGCCTTATTCTCCGCCATTAACAGAGTTCACAAAAACATGGCAACTTTGTTAAATGTGAAAGGGGTGAATTTAATTAATAGGCCGACGTGATCTACTTGGCTAACACTGGAGGTGGAAACAGACTGGATCTGTGCCTCGCCAAAATGTGCTGGAAGTGTTTCTGTCTCTAATTCCTTCCAGAGTTCTTCCCACAGCGAGACAGCACTTCCTCACAGTCTGTATAAAACCACACTTATTTGTAAAATCTCTTTACGTTAAGAAACGGGGTGCACTTTGACACCCCAGGAAGATGGGCTGCTGTTGCGGCAAGTGGAGCCCACAGACAGGAGAAAACTAGCTAGTTATTTGGGGGTCGACACAGAAGTATGGCTTGAACCCCGATCCTGCCTTTTGCCAGGTAACATTCGCTTACAGCGCTGGAGTCCTGGTCCGACGTGTCCATGTCAACAACACCAGCAGCATTTTCGTTCTGTGGAGGAAGCAGAACGGAGCCTGGCGTCATAAACTGTGCCTGCCACCCACGGACGCTCTTCGCAGTTAAAAACCACCCATATTCTGGCAAGAACCGGTCCAGAACAGAAGATCTGTCTTCATTACTCGGAACAGCTCCAGCTGTTTCAAAGGAAGCTCACAAGGCACAGCGTCCCAAGGGCCCCAAGCAACAGGGAAGCCGGCAAAAGCAGTGGATTTTGCTAGCGGCGGGGGAACCCACCTTCTTCAAGAGAACTCTTACCGGCAACTGGGCGATCGCTTGCTGCAGGTTGCAAAATAATTCCACCTGCTTCCTCAGTTCTTCGTCCTCCAGAGTCTCAAGCACCTTCTGAAGGTCGAGCTTCAGGCTGAAATTCAGGCACACGAGGATGCATCTGGGCGCCTGGGCCAGTTTTGTGCCACGCAAATCCTCGACTTAAAAGGTTCAACTCACACGCCCATTTGTTCCCACGCCTCCCGAAGCCTTTCTTCCCCCGACAGGCAGACTGGGAAGGGGCAGGATGCGCAGCGAGGCAGCCGCCCAGCTCTGCCTCCAACGCTCACGCTGAGCCACCGCGCCCGAGCGACCCCCTTCTTGCTTCCTGTTTTAGATGGCGCCAAGGCCACGCCAACTGCCCCGCCTCGCCAAAGCACCCGCAGAGAAGGGGCTTACGCGTCATGCTGCTGGAGCTCCTCTATCTTCAGGCTGATCTTCTCATTATGCTGCTCCGTCTGCAGAAGGCAAGGCGCAAGTTCTGAATTACAAGGGCATTTCACCTGTGAGTACACCTCCAGGGCTGCTGCATCTAGGGAGGCGACCAGGGAGCGAATCTGGACTCAGCCCTCAATACACCCTGCTGAACGTCAGGACTTAGAAACAGAGCGAGTCAGAAGGCGTCTCCCGGGCCATCTAGTCTGACCCCCGGCTGCAGCCTGCTCCGCTCACGACATGCTCACGACGTACAGTGTGCCTGGTGCGAAAAAGCACACAGCACAAACCGGGTGTACAACCTCTGAGCAAAATGTCAGAGGAGAAAGGCAAACGGAAGCACAGCACTACCAGCTGTACAGAAACCAGCTGTGAAATGTCATTTGTCCCACTCGGTCCATGAACTTCACGCGCCTGCTCAAAATTTGATCGAGAAATTGCAGGACGAGTTTGAGCATGGCTCCGTGGCTGCGTTTGGGCCACAGAGCGGCACCTCCCGCTCAGCACTCAAGGGGAAGGCAGTCCTGCGCTTTCTGTTACCAGAATGATCCTTTCCAACATCTGGGCAATCTGGCCGGCTGCTTCGCTCAGGCCACGGCTGAGCTTCTCGTTCTCCTCCATGAGGGAGTGGTTTCTCTCCGCCAGGGACTGCAAATTTTCCGAGGGCTCACCCCTAAAGTTAAGCAGAAAGTTTCCGCGTTGACATTCACCCACCAACACTGACAAGTGATTCTGGAAAGGAGAAGGTGGCAGAGCTACAGGAGATGGCTGGAAGCGGGAAATGTGCTACTGGTTTTCTCCATTATTCTCCTTGTTGCAGGATGCCCCTGGTTGTGTTGCTCCCAGTAATGTACGTGAGACAGGAGCCCCTGGCAAGCACCATCTTTAAGCTTGTCAAACACTTCCCCCAACGTCAGAGGAGCAAGAGGGCTCTCCCTGCGCCTCAGCTGCACTGGGAATGACTCTCGCGGCTCTCCGAGTGTCTCAAAGTTAGTGCAACAAGGGCTGGCCTTCCTTCCTTCCCATGTCAGGCAGGGTAGCAAGCTGCCACCCTCGCCCCACAGTGGCCCTGGGCCTTGGAAGCACGGAAGGCAGCCCCAAAATCAGGGTGACCTCAGAGACCCCCACCCCATTCTCTTTGCTTTAAAAATGCAGCTCTGGCTCCCTGCTGCGACAGCTTCAGATTCCTCCTCTCTGTTCGGCACAGGGGATTAAACAGGTTCTGGCATGAGAAAGGCCCTGCATGGAGCCTGGACAATCCGAGCCAACCCCAAGCCAAAGCCAAGCGAGTGACGGAGGCTTATTCTAGGCCTGTGGGAACATTTCACACAGTTGCCTCTCCTATCCGAGCCTCAGTTTTCCGTACAGAACCTGAAGGCCAACAAATCTCCGTTCATGTCTGTACTGGCTGCCAAGGATTCTGCTGCAGATTTGACCAGTGTAACAACAGCAAAGTCAGGGTTATAGAAAGAAAAAAGAAGGCACGACTTCTTGAACGCGACTGAAAAAATACCATCACAACAAACCCGTAGCCACCCCCTTTCCAAGCCAACTGGTGCTGCAGACTGGCATTTCTTACCCAATTGATACCGGAAGTGTTCCTCCGTGAGCTTGCAGCAATAAGACCTGCAGCTCTTGGACCTGGGAGGGAATAAAAATAGTTATTTTTTAGCTTTGTATCTCATCATTTCTACAAGCTTAAAAGATTTAAGCCTGTAATTCTGTGGCAGTTTTCAGGAACCACCAGGGCAGCGATCAGATAAGGCAGCCAGTCGCATCCCTAAAGCTCCCCCGCATCCACTCCCGTCGACCGACTTCCAGACACAGAGCGCTGGGTACCTGCAGCCTCAACCGGTTGATTTCTGCAGCCTGGGGATCGATATTCACTACTGGCTTGTTCTTTATTTTCCTGGCCCTGTCAGCATAGCGAAGGGTGTTCAAGGTCTCTTCCATATTGGAATCTGCCGGACTCACGCAGGCGATCATGAGGGTGTGGCTATTGCCCCCCAAGGAGTCTGGAGAGCGAGAGAGGAGCTGAGGCAGTGGCTTTAGCAGGAAAAAGTGGCACCCCACGCCTGTGGGGCTGGCCTCCAGAGGCACAAGGTGCCCCCCCCGCCCACCCCCAGGCTTCATGCTGCAATCTTACCTTGCAAAAGGCGTGTGAGTTTGGAGTCCCGGTAAGGGACAAAACTGCCCTTCTTGGTTTCATCCCCGAGAGCACTGATGACGTTCCCCAGGCAGAGCAGGCCTTTGTTGATGTTGATTCCTAGATGTGCCGGCACCGAGCAGAAGGGGAGAGGGGCAGAAGAAATGAGGCAAGAGATCTTGGCTCTTTGCAAGAAACAAAAGCAGGGAGTGAAATGTTCTCGTGCACATCCAGAGCGGGAAGAAAGAAAGCAAGCAAAGCAGCACCAGACATTCAGAAAGCGCTTCGGCCAAATGCCAGCAAGGCGAGGCGAGCTGTCTTACATGCAGGCGGGCTCGGGCGATCTTCTTGACCTACCATCAGTCAAAACGAAGGACTATTCCTCTGTCAAGCATACGGACTTCTAAAAACTCAAGAGATCGCTTCTCCCCAGAACTTCCACTGTCAGGGCAACCAACCCACATGACTGCCGGGATGAGTTCCACTTACCTTCCCGCAGACGGTCACCTTCTGCTTTGGTCTTCTTTTGCCTTTCAGAACCAGCGAGGTCTACGAGGTGCAGTTTGCAGCAAAAGCTGGTGTTCCTGAAGCAGAAACGGAAGTTGCACGAGGCCGGGAAAACAAAGGTAGGCACTCTAGCATCTAGCAGCAGCAGTTCAGTCGAACCGAGAACTCTCCGCACAGCAAGCGACTTTTCAGCACTGTTTCCCTCGTCTCTCTGCCTTTGAGCCAACCCAGTGTGTTCTTCCCTTTCTGGAGCATCGTCCGACCTAAAGGCACTTAAATGCTCACGCCCCAAAACCAGAGCCTTCTTTCATCGTGCCAAAAACCCATCCCGTTAAAAGAGCAGTGATCTGAACTTCCGCGCTTACCTGTCGCTCTTGCTTTTCTGCTCGATGGACATGGTGAAGATGGCGTGAGAGCGAGATGACTGGGTGTTCATAGCGGTGGCAGCCACAGTTCGGGAGTTGTTGCCCTGCTCCAGGCACGAGACAGTTTCCTTGGCACTATTTACTACATGTTCTGTAAGTCCCACAATCTGGAAGAAGAGAGGGAGAGAAAATATGCTTTTATTTCCTTGGGCTTGTGAACCATTTTAAAAGCCCCTGGCTTATGTTTTGTCCAGTTTTTTGGCAACGCTTTTCCCCATAAAAATGTAAGGAGGACCGTCTGGACGTATCCCTCATTAATCCTTTATCAGTGTGCCTTCACACTCTGGGTATCAGGAGCCAGCTTTCCAGCGAGCTCCACCCTAGTCTGGCCAAGGAAGCCAGTTACTGAAATTGACAAATTTTCTCAGAGAAAGACTGAAGGGCATCTGGGTTAAGGGAGCTTTCCACAGCATGCCCAACAAAGCAGGAAATGGAAGAGGACATCGCTCTCTTTAGGAAGAGCAAGGAAGCTAAAAGGAATGCAAGTCAGCTCAGCAGCCAACCTGTGGCATCAGTTCTTGCTTTCTGGGCCAAAAGGCAGGACACATGCATTTTAAACATGTACCTATGATGAGTGCCCCCACCCAAGCTCATGTGCACCCGTCACAGAACAATGCAAGCTCCGTTAGTCACCACCAGCCTTAGTTTTTCCTATGGCCTGCTGCAACCTCTTCCCAGAAATAGCAAACGGAGAAGTCCACCTTTATGCCTTCCTTGGGGTCCTCACGGATGCTGATCTGAGATGTCCGCTCTTTGGCTGGTGCCAAGAGGTCCAGGATGTCCTCATTGTAGATCTGAAGATACCAGAAGAGACGTGTGGATTGCAGAAATCCAGACAGAGGAGAACAAGCAACGAGGAAAGTAAAAAGACAAGGTTAAAGGGCAGAAAGGAATGAGAAACAATCCGGCCCAAAATGGAGGTTGCCATCTCACGCACGCTTGCTTGAGAGTGGGCCTGACAGAGCACAGTGGGATTAATTTTCAGGTTGTGGGACTTCGGATCAGGGCGGAAGCCTCCTCCAACAGCTGTGGCCTTTGGCATTCCTGCCCTAAAGCATCTAGATGTGGAAGCTGAGCAAGACTGAGAAGGGAATGCTGAGCTGCAATGTAGTTGGCAGGCAGGTTGGGCAGCTACGTGAGCGGTGCCACCCAGACCGGCCCGTGCTCACAGAGAGGGAAACTCAAAAGCATTTCTTTAGCTGAGATGGAGTATACACAAAAGCTTGGTGTACATACATTGGTTAGCTGGCTGCTTACTTTACAGAATCATCTTTACAACTGGCTTAAAAAATAATAATGGTGTTACCATAATTCAACAGTGCACTATTTTTAAGTGCAAGCTCCCTTGGCGTTTCAGGGTAAAAGTGAAAGAGAAGGACCACTGAACAAATTATTCGTATTTAGAGAAACCTTACCTAACACTAAAGCATGCTTTTAAACAGACTAATTTCCTTCTTCCAAAGAGTTAACAAGTCTGTTTTGGTAAACAGGATAAGTGCAAAACATGTCAATAATTAAAATACTTTTGTTGTTACTCTAATAAAAGCAATGCATTAAAACACAGGACTGGCCTATGGAGCAAATCTTTGGTTGGGGCTAGGCCTTGGTGCTTGGCAGAGGGTTCGCCATGTGACTCAAACTCTTAGCAAGCAGGAATGGAGAATATTCAGCCCTCCGATCGTTGCTGAGCTCCCATCAGCCCTGGCCAACATGGCCAGTGGTGAGGGATGGATGCTAGATAAGCAGACTCCTGACCTGATACAGCAACAGCTCTTAACCTAGAGAAATAACGAACACAGTCTAGGTTTCAATATCGGCAAGCCAGCATGGCATAGTGGCGAGTGCGGTGGACTGGAGATGGGTGACTTTGGGCCAATCACTGACTCTCAGTCTAACTACCTCACTTGGTTGCTGGGAGGATAAAATGGAGAGGGAGGTTTTTAAAGTCACCTGAAGTTCCCTGCAAGAAGAAAAAGTTGGGGGATAAATCAATCAATCAATCATAAACAAACAAACGAACAAAAGAATGAATGAATGGCTTCTACCTCTAGATAGGAGACTTTCAAGGAAAACTGCCACTCTGTCTTCTCTCTCATTTCTTGGAAGAGCAGCTTTATCACCCGAGGGATGACTCCGACGGTGGGATCGTTCTCTTGGTCGGCCGTGTAGGCCCCTCCCATGGAGTAGGTCTTCCCAGACCCTGTCTGCCCATAGGCCAGAACAGTAGCATTGTACCCTGTGTAATTAAGACCAAAAAGCAAGTGGGTGCCATTTCCCCTGAAAACAGTCCATACAGGCAAGCAGAAGCAGGGTGAGAATCCCTTCCGCCTTGGGATTGGCACATCTCAAACCGATCCATTTTCATACTGTGAGAACCTCAATATGCATGATGTATGCTTAATTCTGAGCCACAGATGATGTTTTGGTCGAAAGCATCTGAAGGGAGTCAGGCTGGGGAAAGCTGAGCTAGCTAAAAGGAAATCAGACTGGGGCAGGCTGCGCCAGCTTACAGCAAGCAGGTCCTCTTAAAGCAGGAAAGGGCAGACATAAACTGAGGCATCAGTTTACTTGTCCCCAGGATACAACCCTCCTACTGAAAATCTCCCCCAGGCGTTCTTTCTCTGCAGGTTCTTACCTTTGAAAACACCCCTTACAAGGGGAACAACGCAGGAGTTGAACACCTCTTCCTGCTCAGTCGATGGGTCAAAAACATAATCATACGTGAACGGCTTGTCCTTGCCTAGAACCACCTGTGGGGAAGAGGGAGGTGTGAGATCTTGCCTCGTGCCCAGTTCGCGAACCACTCTTCAGCTTTCTGGTTTAGAGCGGCAGGGATTCTGTGGACCCATGGGGCGAGTTGTTTCAGGACAATACGCAAAATGATCCTCACCTGCTGTTCTCCAGCGACAAAAGACAAACACATCTGGCAGCCCTCTGCAAGTTCTTTGGGAACAAGAGGGCGGCACCTCAGGGCCACCCTCACGGGGATTACCCTGCCCTCTTCTTTTGACATTTTTTATCACTATCTTCCTAAAAGAAATTGAAAAGTCACAGAACGTTATTTCATGGGAAACCACTGGCCACGCTTTGTGGCTAGTGACAACTTTTAAGCCCAACATAACTGTCAGCCAGTCAAACAAGGAGGGAAAGATCTTTGGCCTCAAAAATATTAGCTGCTACACCCAAGGAGCCCCAGGGCCTGCTAGTAACTTCATTATACTAATAACAGATTGAACAAGTCTATCAGTATTTGTAACCGGGCCTTTGTATACATGCTGCTGAATCAGAGCAGAAAAAAAAGCAAGCGTCATCTAGGAACCCGGGTTCAAATCCTCATGGCCAGCCATGTAGCCTCCTGGCCATCTGTGATGCTACCTCTCACTTCCAGCATGAAACTTCTAGCACAGGATCAAATGGTTCCAATCCCCACTCCAGTCCGGAAGCAAAATGGCTGGGCCTTTTGGAAGCAGCCATCACCATCTCCCTGGATTATGCCAACCTCAAAGGGTTGCTGTGAGGATAAAATGGGTAAAGGAAAACGGAACCTTGTCTCAGACTTTCTAAAAAAAAAAAAAACAGGCTATAAAACCAGTAGCAATAGTAAATACTACTACAGTGGTTAGTTGGTTACTTATTTATTTAAAACCTTTCTATACTGTCCACTACCAAGGTCTCGGGACTGTCTTACAATAAAACAAGAGTGGAGCACAGCATCCAAATTGATTTTTCTATACAATAAGACCCTAAATTAAAATCAGATCCAAACCTTAAAATAATGGGAAAGATATCCAACTTTTGCCAGAGCAGACCAAACAAAATGGGGCAAGTCAGACTAACAGTGAGTGCAAGACATTAATATTTGTATTCCTAATATGATTGTATTAATGATTCTGCCATTAGCATTAGTATCAGTGGATAGCCAATGAGGTGTAGCTATCAATGGTTACAGCATCATACTGGGATGATCCAAATTCTAGTCCCCACTTGTTGTGTTGACCACGCAATGTCTTCACGTCCCTTAACCTACAAGATTCTTGGAAGGATCAAAAGGAGAAAAGCAGGTGAATCATCCCTGATGAGCCTTCGGCTGTCTTGCAAAGGAAAAAGGGTGAGATAAAAATGTAATGATGAATACATCGAACTCAAGAATAAAAGGGTGCTTAGTTCGTGAAGTTCATTGCTTTGAGCCAGCTGCCAATTCTCTGCCTATTCTACTCCGCAGGGTTGTTGTGAAGATAAAATGGCAGGGTGCAGCAGGATCATGTTGGATACCTTGGGATCCTTGCCAGGGAGCAGACGAAGGTGGGATAACAATGCAATATGCAGTGGTAACATAATTAATCATCATAATTCATAATTCATACATTCATCATGAAACAGTCTTAATACTACTCACCTCCCCCTCCTCCCACAAAGGGCGAGCTTTTTAAACCCCGAGGCGCTCTGGGTTTGGGTGAGGCCCAAAAGCGAAGGGGGCGGGGGCACCTAAAGTGAGCCCCCCCTCCGAAATGCCCCCCCCACGACACGCGCGCGCGCCCCCGGGGCAAAGACCGTTACCCTCTCGGCCCCGGCCAGCACGACCCACCGACCGAGCGCCCGGCCTGCCCAACGCCTCGCGCCGCCGCCGCCGCCGCCCCTTCTCCGACTTGCAACATTCAAATACGGCGCGCCAATCCGGGCGCTGCGAACGGAGGGAGGAACTATAGAGACGCAGGGCCACGGCGGAAGTGACGTCACGGCCCCCGCTTCCGGCCAGGGTAGAGCTACGCAGGGAACCGAGTCGCCTCTGCCTAGGAGGGATGTGGGAAGGATGCCGTCTTCCCGCCCCCGGGCGGGGTTCGTGCTGTGGACGAGCGCGGCGGGGGAAGCGGCTGGGTGACGGGGCTGTGGTTCGAGCCAGCTGCAGGGAGCCGCGGCGCAGCCCCGAATGAGCTTGGATCCCTGAGGATCCGACCTGGATTCCGGGCAGAACGGCTTTCCCGAATCTCCCGGGTTGCCTTCCCTTATCTCAGCAAATTCATGCGAACGCAGCCATAGCAAAATACGTCAGACTGAGAGACTGACCGGCGAGAAATGCACGCTTGACCCGCTGGCTAAAGCAAGGAAACACGCGTTTGGAGGGGCTCTGAGCATTTGGGGAGAGTGCACTGTGCAATTCCGAACGTGCGTCCGCTCGCGTTTGCGCCAGCTCCGCTTCTATCAACGGATACGCAGCAGAGCGGTCGGTCCTTGACAAGCCGCCCAACGTAGCCGGGATGAATTTTGCAAAGTCCGCACGGCCCTCGATGAGCTGCCCCTCTTCCTCTCTTCCTTCGTTCTTCCGGAAACGCGCCGAGCCTGTTCCAAATAGACCAACTTCGAAATATCTGCTTGCAAACTCTTGCTTCGCTTCGGCGACGAATTCTGGCGCTTGGTTTCGGGGAGAAGTCCCCACGGGCTGGATTGGGACGTGCCGATGCAGCATTGGCCATAGGGGCTGGGGGTGATGAGAGTGGCAGTCCAGCTATGTCTGCAAAACTATGTACTATGTAAAATGTCCTTTCCCGACATCATGCCTTCCGGAGATGCCGCATCAATGTTCCCAACAATCCGTTGTGTAAACGAGGGGATAATGGGAGTGGTAATCCATGGTACGAGGGAGGGCTCAGATGTCTCTATGGCTCAGAGGCGGGGTCTCTGTATAGAGTATAGTATACTCTATAGTATAGTATAGTATACTATAGCATAGTATAAAGTATAGAGGGGCCACTCTATACTTCAACATCTCTGTGGTACCTCTCGGTTGGTGAGCTGCTTCCCGCCTGCCCGTAAGGGAAATTAGAGCGCTTCAGCTGCAGTGAAGACTCTTTGTACAGGCGGCTCTCTAGACGCCCCTTGCCTTTCTCTATGGTGATGGAACAAAGAATCCTGGCGGCCTCGTTCTCTTCTAGGACTGGAGGGTCCGTTAATCACGTGACCAGCGCCGGGAAGGCGCACGATTCTGCAGGGTTGCCGTGGTTACCGACGCAGCGGGCCCTCACGGGGAGGGGGGGAGAAACCGCCCTCAGTTTGACCCACCCAAAACTATTCCGAGGCAGTTAAGCTAGGCTTTCACTACTTTTACGTGCTTTTAGGGATTTTTTTTTCCATACTCTTTTAAAGAGTCATAAAATGATCTTCACGTTCACACGTGCCGATAGTCACGTGTCATCCGACGTGCTACCCGCCTGCGTTGCGTCCTCACTGGCGTGTCCGCCGCCTCCTCGTCCCGACCAATCCGAGGGCCCGCTTGGCCATCCGGCTGCGCGCTTCGGCCACTAGGAGACGAGGAACAGGCACTCTCCCTTGCGATTGGGAGGCGCGTGGGAAGGGCCTTTCCGGATTGGAGGAGCGAAGGGAGGTGGGCGGTGCTGGCGCGGCTGCGCCTGATCCCGCCAGTCCAGCTGATCCGCGGGAGGGAGGGAGGCGGAGATCGGTCTCCCGGCGAGTAAGTGGCGGATCGCCCAGGCCGGCCGCGTCGGGGGCCGTCCTGCTGCCTGGCTCCGGAGGGTCCCGCCGGGCCCGCCGAGGAGGGAGGCCGTGACCGGCGCGCTTGCTCCCGAGGAGACGTGGCGAGGACGGCCCGTGGAGGTCGGCGGGGCTCGCTTAGGCGCGCGGAGACACCCGCTTTTCCCCCCGCCCCCCCCGGCTGCGCTGGACCACAACTCCCAGCATTCCTAGGGTCCAGCCCACCTGGAGGGCCCCAAGGCGGCAAAGCAGGTGTGCAGGGCCGTGGCCTTGGCCTGCCAGCCGGAGCCGCGCTGACCTGGTGGCCGTGCGGCTGCTCCGGGCAGGAAGTGGCGCGTTTCCTGTCCGGGGAGGCCAGAGCCGCCTTCGCAGGGTGGGGAGGCGAGGTGAGCTTTGCTCCCAGTGGATCCTGGCCCCGGCTTCAGGGGGCGTATAGGCTGGTGCAACGTTGCGCTGGGAGGGGCAGGTGCAATTCGCTGGACCTTCTGACTGGAGCATCCCGTGCACCTGCACACACGCTTCCTCCTTCCGGGCAGAAAACTGTGGCATCTTTGCTGTGCATCGAGGCTGAGGGTCTCCGTCATAATCACGCTCGCCAGAGAGATTCTCCCAGTGCTGACATTATACTCTCTTTGTCAGGCAAAGCCCTTTTTATTTCCCCGCTGTTTTAATGTTTAATTGATTTTAGTTGGGGTTTTAGTATATTAATGGTTGGATTCTGTGGGGTTTGTTTTATTCTACAGGATAGAAAAACTTTCAATAAATAGATAACAAAATTAATAATCAGAACAATTTTTCCTGTGAAGTCTATGATGAGAACCAGTGTGGTGTAGTGGTTAAGAGCATGGGACTGGGACTCAGAGGATCTGGGTTCGAGTCCCGGCTCAGCCATGGAGCCAACTGGGTGACTTTGGGCCAGTCACAGACTCTCAGCCCAACCTACCTCCCAGGGTTGTTGTTGTGGGGATAAGATGGAGGAGGAGAATGATGTAAGCTGCCTTGAGCCCTTTGTAGGAAAAAGGCAGGATATAAATCATAATATATAAATAAAAATATAAATGCACTTCCAGAGCCCCTTTCTCCTACACTAGCTTTGTAAACTATGTGTAATGACATTAATGGTTTAATTTTCCTTAGTTTCCTAGGAAAGATTGCTAGTACTTCCACAGCTCTTCAGATGGACACCGGAGGGGGTGCCCGCATTGCCTATGATGACTATCCGGTGGTCTTCCTGCCTCCGTATGAAAGCCCCCCTGCCTGGATACCTCCCCATGAGGTACGTGGCTGCAGACCCCACGCTCTGGTGGCCCCAGCAGCTTCCAAGCAGATCACCTGAGTTCTTGTCCAGACCTGACACAGTGCTGAAGTTTAGGGGTGAGGTTTTAAAAAGTGATCTAAATCTGCACTCTTATGGCTGCTTAAAAAGATAAGAGGCATACAACTCCCCAGTCTGCACAGGATTGTGCCGTAATCCACAATCCTTTTAAGGCAGGCTTAAAAGACTCGCCTCCAGCAGTTCCTGATTTTGTTTTCGCCCGTGCCTCGAACTTAAGGGCCAGCTCTTGTCCAGCAATGTGTTCCTGAGTGGCCCCTGGATGCCCCTGGGGGAAGTCTGTAAGCTGGATGTGAAAGCAGCAGGACCTTCGCACCCATGCTCCCCAGCATAGGATGAGCAGGTGGATCTTTCCTCGGATGCTAGAGGAGGCAGGCAGCCGTTGTCACCGCTTGTGGTGGGGAATTGCACAGCTTAACTGTGTGCCTGTGAAAGAAACACGCTCTCCTCGCAGCAGCAGTAGCAAACCGTTCCATGCAGTGAACCCTACACCCCAAAGCAAAGCTTGAAGCTTCCCGACGTGGTCCTCACCCTGCCATGGTGCGTGTGTTTTGTTTTCCTCCAGAGAATTTACCATTCCGATTACAACAACGAGCTGACCCAGTTCCTGCCTCGTACCATTGTTCTGAAAAAGCCACCAGGGGCTCAGGTGAGACTTGGAGAGAGAGCAGTGGGAGACTAGGCTGATGCCCTGCCGCTGCCATGTTGGCTGATTTCCTCCACAAGAACGATTGCTGTGCTTTGGGGCAGTTCTCCTCTCTGTTCACAGCTCCCTCCTGGGAGTCAGAGCCCGTCAAGGGGCCTCGTTCAGCGGAGAGCCTTTGAACAGGGGAGTGTTCTTCCTCATGCAAGGTCAATTCGTTGGCGGCACTGTTTCCCAGGAAGGCAGAGGGGGCTTAGCGGGTATCATTAGTGAAAGCCAGTGTGGCGTAGTGGTTAAGAGCGCGGGACTGGGACTCATAGGATCCGGGTTCTAGTCCCTTCTTGGCCATGGAGCCAACTGGGTGACTTTGGGCCAGTCACAGTCTCTCAGCCCAACCTGCCTTGCAGGGTTGTTGTTGTGGGGGTAAGATGGAGGAGGAGAGAAGATGTAAGCTGCCTTGAGCCCTTTGTAGGAAAAAGGCAGGATATAAATCACAATATAAATTTTATTTATTTATAAATATTCGTAAATATCCTACAGATTCTACCCTCCTGGGCAGAATCTGTGCCCCTTGCAAACTACGCAGGAGGGGGAGCTCAGCAGGAGGTGGAGCTCAGCAGCGTAGCTTGCAAGGGGCACAGATTCTGCCCAGGAGGACGCAGGAGCAAAAAGCTTGGGGCCAGTGCCTGAAGGACCTTCTCCTGCTCTGTGAAGCTGCCCATATGCTGAAACCTCCTTCAAAGGCCCTGGTGTGTGTTTCACCCCAAGGAGAGGTTGAACAAGGCTCTTTCTTGGTGCCATGTCAGCTACAAAACTCCCTCTGAACAGTAGCCAGGTTGGCTTCTTTCCCTACTCGGTTTAGATACACAGCAAAAACCATGGTTTTTTTTTTTCATTGGGGCTTTGACATTTAAAATTGTGTTTGGTCTTTTCCTTACTGTTCTACATACATCCCATTGAAATCCTATCTCTTTGAAGGCCCCGATGGGCAGAAATATCACACGCACGCCCATTTTTAAGGTGCAACTGATGCACGTTCAGAGAGAAGAGTGTTGTATAGCACCCTGGCAACGGGAGCAGTGGGTTTTATAGGACTTTCTTCTGTCCAGTGAGGCATACGGTTGTGCTCTAATAAAGAATGAGCCTTGGATTAAAAACGGGTATGTTCTCTTTACTAAATGAATGGGGCGGGTGGGGGAAAGGGTTGTCTGTTTTGCCTTGGGGACCTGGGGAAAGATGGCAGAGCCAGCACTGCCGAGCACTTCTGATTTGGGGTCAGACAGAGAAGTAAACACCAGTGTCAGGGATACTCTCTGAATAAAGGACATATGGGAGATGTTTCTAGCCTGCCTCATGCCCTGTAAAACTTACATTATCTGTCTGGTCCTTTGATAGCCCTTTCCATTTCATGGGCCCCATGTGGATTCCAGCAGAGTGCTAATGACAGAATTTCTGTTGCTTAAGGTGTGCAGACCCATAAGCAGACAAACGAGGTTCTTTGCCAAATTAGCTGTACTTTGATTATCCCCCATTGAAATAATGAACTAACTGAATCAGGTTGAACGTAAGTCCCATTGATTTTAGCTGGTCTAATCTTAGATAAGGCCACAATTTTACACCCACTTACTTCAAGTAAGTTGCCCTGAATTCAGAATGACTTTTGAATAGACATGGATAAGATGATAGTAGATCCACCTCATTTGCTGTTTTCTCAGTGCGTTCAACTGTTCCTTATTTGTTCCTAGCTGGGTTTTAATATCCGAGGAGGAAAAGCATCGCAGCTGGGCATTTTCATCTCTAAGGTACGTTGACCTCTCACCCTTCCTCAGCTGCATCCACACGCCGGCGAGATAATTAGTTACAGTGCAGCTTGTTCATTTGCATGTATTTTAGTCCTGCTGTTTAAATGTCCAAAAACAGAACAACCCCACAGAAGAAATACAACAAGGAATTATATTGTATCTAATATGTCCACAGTGTTGATTCCAATAAAGGAGAAAAGATGTCAGGTTTTTTTTTGCCAGATTACTCAATAGAGGTGATCCGGTGATTCAAGATAACACCAGTCAGTTCATATGAAGCAGAAACAGGTACTGCTTACTTTTGAGTAAACATGCATTGGATAGCAGCATTCAATGTAGTATAATGTAGTATAAGGACTCAAAGTATTATAAGAATGTTTTGGTTATTTTTAAATACGGAATTGTGATTTGTTAGAGCCTAGCTTCTTTTAGCATACTAGTTTTTAAAAATAAAGTGCAGGAAGCTCTTCTGCCTCTCCCATTCCTAATGTTTATTCCCGTGCTTTAGTTCCAAGTCCTTAATTTCTCCTATTCCATTATTCCGTGCACAGAGAACACAGTTCATCCTTGAGTGGGAGGTATTCCTTATATCGATGCTTTCGAAGAGGCGGCGCACCTGTTGTGTGACCGGTTGTGGCTAGCATGCGCAGGATGCCCAGGGAAACCAGTGACAGACTGGCTATTTCTTCCCTGTTTCCAGGTGATCCCGGATTCGGATGCCCACCGAGCTGGGCTGCAGGAGGGGGACCAGGTCCTCGCGGTTAACGACGTGGACTTCCAGGATATCGAGCACAGCAAGGTGAGGTGCCTGCAGAACTGCATGATGGACATGCAAGGTGTGGTCTGAAGGCCACGACGCCGTTGAAGCGAAGCGCTCTCTCCGGTCAGTGCCTGAATGAAAGTGTGTGGCCACGTCCAGCTTTATCAAGGAGATGCAGGATCTGAATAAATTCCGACCCAATTTGAAGCCCTTCCAAATCCAGCGATGTCCTTGCTGTTTTCTGCCCTCAGGCCGTGGAGATCTTGAAAACTGCTCGGGAGATCATTATGAGAGTCCGATTCTTCCCCTACAGTAAGTGGGTTGCTTTTGCAAAGCCTGTGGCCCTTCTGGGAAGGAAGATGGCACAGGCAATTGGCAGGCTTCCGTTTCTCTTGGCAACAAGAGAAAGTGGTTGGATGAGTCAGTTCTGTTACCCTTTTTACAGGATGCTGTAAATCCAGGATGGACAAGAGATGTTATCTATCATTTCTTTGTTTAGTTAAAGTTTTTATATAAACAGTTATTTAGCAGACACCCTCAGAGGGATCTCCAGTGAATAATAATGACAAGCAAAGCCATTAATGATGTGCTGGCCAGCATCCATTGGCCACGCTGACTGGGAGTTTTGGGGCTTCGGGGAGGCTGGTGTCGAGTTCCCTTGCACTTCCAGGTAGAAGAAGGGTTGTCCCTGAGGTATTTTGCCAGCCGCTGTGAGAGAAACGATGCTGGACTTCTGTTTTGATCAAGCAGGGTTCTGCTTATGTTTTGGAGTTCACCCTGTTTATTTTCTTTCCCCTCCAGATTACCAGAGGCAGAAGGAGAGAACTGTCCACTAGGAATCTCTTCCCAGCTCGGCCTTCTTTTTGCAGAGAGGAGGGCAGAAGTGATGACTATGGAGCAGAATTTCCTTTAGGGCAGAGAGCAGCGCCGTGGGCCTGCAAAGGAGGCCTCGTTTAACGTTTGTTTTAATCCTCTCTCTCCATGCTGTGAAGTAAGGGACTGAGAGAGAAGGACGTGGCCCGCAACCTGTGCTCTGATCAGGAAATGTGTCTAAATTTACTGGTAATGCCAATTCACAAATGCATCCCCAGACCTAGAGAGCTGTGAATCCTTCAGAAGCCTTCTTCCAGAGCGGCTTCCTTTTTACTGCACAAAAGACAAACACTGGGCTCGGGAGCCTTTTAAGTCATGCCTCTTTTCAGATACAAGAGGAGGCTGTGGTGGATTGGGGCACAATTTATGGCACACATCTGCATTCAGACATAGTACAATGCACTGAACTTGTGTGGGTGCATGTGTCTGGGGAACTTCTCTTTGGAGAATGCCTTTCTTCCTGGTCTCTGAAGGATCAGGTGTTTAGCAATCTGCATTGTTGCATGCCCTGGAATTTGGCTTCAGTAGCAGAATTAATGGCCGCAGTGAATCCTAATTAAAGTTGGCTTTGATTTGTAAAGCAAGTTCCTAGTCCTCATGCCTAAATATACTATTATCTTTCTCTTTTGTTCCCCTGTCTCCACATCTGGATTACTATCTGTGTTAAAACAAGCTTCCCTCATCCAACAACCCCTAAGCAAAGTGATACTCCTACAATTATACAGACATTAAAACGTCTGATCAGATTCTGTAGGTGGAAAGGTATGTGTATCACACAACCGAAAGGGCACATTTCTCTGCATGTCTGGACTGAGAATGTCTGACATCTTCCAGTTTTCTCCAACTAGCCTTGCTTTTCTTCTGCATGGGAATGCTCTCTTCTTGCTCATGGGAATTAGGAACTGTGCAAAGAAACCTAACTGAAACTTTTCCAGAATGCTGTGGAAACCACGAGTATTTGCTTCATGTGCTCTCCCCCACGTGCCAAGCGCATGGTGCGCCCCGATCGGCCATGGCACCCGTCAATTGAGACATCCGTGCGTGGTCATAATTCTCTTGAGTCCCCTTGAAAACCTGCATTTCTTTGGAAGGGGTGGCTAAAACCTATGGACAGGGCAATACATTGTTGAGCTGAAACTTACATATACTGCAGCTGGAGATGGGAAGTAAAACCTGTACTTGGGGTTCTGTTTAGCTTAGCCCGATGTTTTCTCTCACTCTAGCTGTGGCGTTCTCCTTCTCCACTCAAGGCTTCTAATGTTTTGGGAGAGACATGGATGAGCAGCAATTGTGGACTTTGAGGAGGTAACGGAAGGGGGTAGCATAGAAACCCAGCCCCTCCACAGGACCTAGTCAGGAAAACCTGCTGCTCCGACTTCGTGAACTTGCAGTGTTGATCCATCTGAATGAGGTGAGGAGGGAAGGGCAGCTAAGAGGAAGGGCCGAGCCAGACTTGGTCTCCCAACCTTTCAGCTCACAAAACACAGCGTGGTCTTGCAGCTGCTGACAAAGCACATGGAACCTCTGCAGAATTATTCCTCTAGCAGGTGCTATTTTGGGGGTCTCTCCTGTTCACAGTGGAGTGGTCAATGGAGCATCTCATCAGTTTTCTTCCTGCCCTGATTTTTTTTTCTATTGCAGTCTTTTTGTGGAAAAGTTTCCGTCTTTAATAAAATGATTCTGTCATTGTCCAGTTGCTGTGTTTTTCGACCTAAGCGGGTGAGCGGGGTGAAGAGGACTTTGGTACTGTGCACCTGGCCTTCTTAGTGCCGCCATTTTGCCACCCCCACACCTAACAGTGCCTCTGCCCCATCAGCCTCGCCGAACAGGGATGAGGGTTAGGGATGGTGCATCTTAGTGGGAGGCCTGGCTGGGGGTCTGGCAGCAGACCTCCCTTCCCTCTGGCCCTGTTAGACTGTCTCTCCCATGATTTCCAGCCAGTGCGGCCAAGGGCTGGTTTGGAGAAGGCTGAGCGAGAGCATCCCCGAAGTAGCTTCGCTCACAGAATGGGGGCTCATTCTCCGTTATTGCTGGGAGAGGAAAAACGGTACCCCGGGCCTGATGCTGCCTGCATAGGAGAAAGAAAATTGGATCTCAGATGTGGGTGCTGTGTAACTACAGCCAAAAGAATTGGAACTTATTCCGGGGCAGAATATTGGATAAGTAATGGATAGTAGCCACAGACACTGCGAGGATAAACATTTCTTGTTCCTCTTGCAAATGTTTTGGGTGGAGCAAATGGGCCCGACAGGTAAAGGGGAGTATTTCGGAGCAGATATTTTACGCTGTTTGCATGCCAGAAAGCACATCACAATAAAGCCACCAAAGAGAAACCACGCCTCCAAACGCAGCACTGCGTTTCTGAGCAACTCCTTAATTCGTTTCGTAAGACTGTCGCCGCCTGCAGCTACTGGGACTAGCGCCTTACAGGTTAATTTGTCCAGTCCCACATTCTGTGGAAGTGAATCCTCTAGCTGAACGCTGCGTTCTCACCCATCAGCTTCATGGCAAGGCCCCACTGGGTTCTAATACAGCAGGGCACCGTCTCCCCACCTTTCCTCCACACGCTGCCTCGTTGCGGGCCGAGCTATGATGTCCCCCCTACTCACTCGCCCTGTTCAACAGTCCCAGGAGCGGCCCCCTTTCCTCACGGGAATTGGCCCAGCCCCCAAGGAGTGAACTTGCCCCTTTCTGTACTTTCCCAGTACCACAATACCCTTTTCTTAGAACTGTTCAAAATGTCACATCGTCGTAAACATTACACAGTCCTAGACAGACTGGCCCAATCCTGTCCTGTCCAAATGTTCTGGACTTCAGTTCCCATGTGTCCCAGCCAGCATGGCCAGTGACTAGAAATATTGTGGCTTGCGGTCCAAAACCTCTGGAGGACACCAGGTTGGGGGAGGCTGCTCTGAACACCCCCAAAGTGCCTGGGCTGAAATGTGGGAAGAAGCTGAACTCTGACTGCCTACCCATCCCATGTGCCCTGCCTCTCCCCTGCTCCCAGTCTGCCTTGTATCTTTATTTTGTTCGGACTGTAAGCTCCTTGGGGCAGAGAACCTGTGTTTTGGTCAAGAGGCCCTGTGCCCAGGGGGTTCAATGGGGCCAGCGAGGTCCAGCCAAACAGTGAAGGATTAATTCACTATTGCAGGATCCGAGTCCTTTTTCCCCACTTGCTTCCCAGTCCCCGGGAAATGGGCGCTTGTGAAAGCGCCGCGGATTCTGGGAAGCAGGAGGAGAAAGGGGCGGGCCGGGGGGGAGGCAGAGCAGAAGGAGAAAAGGGAAGGAAGGAAGTGAAGGGAGAGAAGAAGGGCGGGAGGAGGAGAAACAGGAGAAGGAAGAGAGTTCCAGCAAATTAACGATGAAAGTGCACCAGGATCCCAAGAGCGCCAGGATCCCAAGAGCACCGGGATGCCCTTTCCCCTCTATTTTATCCCTGTTTCGACTTTCTAACCCCGAGAAGAAAAGAAGACCCTGAAGCTGGGAAGGCAGAGGCAGAGAAGAGAGATGCACGAGGAGATCAGGGTAGCCCCAGCCCTGAATTTGCGAGCGCCGAGCAGCGCTGCCCTGGACGGGACGCCTCGACGCCTCACTCAGCCTCGCGCACACGGACAGGAGAAAAGAATTGCAGGAGGCCGGAGGCATCGATCGCTTTAGCGCGCGATGGAAAAGCCCCAGGAGCGTGTTGGGTTCCATGGTGTAATGGTTAGCACTCTGGACTTTGAATCCAGCGATCCGAGTTCAAATCTCGGTGGAACCTCGCCCTCGTTTTGCATTTTAGAGTCGCGCTTCCAAGGAACGCGGTTCTGCGCCTCGCGCTGCGCCCGATTCTCAAACTGCGCTGCAGCCCCAATTCGGGACGATGTCCCGCCCGCCCCGCGCTGGGGCTCCGCTGGAGAGCGTTACCCGGCCTGACGTGGCCTCTCCGGCCCTCCTCCCCCGAAAACGCCTTCGTCTGGGTGGAAAACTCTGAGTAGCGCAAGTTGACGGCGCGATCCTATGCCTGCAGGATTGCACCCTTACAAGGGGAATGGTTTTATCCCTTCCTCCGACGTATTTAAGCGACGAAAAGGGGGCAGCAGGGACACAAAGCGAAAAACACGCAGGCGGGATTGCAAGATGCGTGCGGGACGGAGTGATGACCTCAAGGCAACGAGCACTTCTAGCCATGGGCAGAGTGCCTTCCCGAGGGCCTGCTCACTCTTCCGCGGTTGGTAGCAAGGTTGTGGGGTGCAGCTCGGGAGAAAGATTCCCGAACGAGAGGAAGCCTGGGGAAAGGCCAACACGGGAACCAGTTGATTCCAGTCCTGAAACCTACCTTTGCAAGAGCCAGCGTGGCGTCGGGGTTCAGAGCTGGGACTGGGACTCAGGCGATCTGGGCTCTAGTCCCTGCTCAGCCATGGAGCCAACTGGGTGACTTTGGGCCAGTCACAGCCTCTCAGCCCAACCTACCTCACAGGGTTGTTGTGGGGATAAGATGGAGGAGGAGAATGATGTAAGCTGCATTGAGCCCTTTGTAGGAAAAAGGCAGGATATAAATCTCAATATGAATGAATGAAAGGCCGAGATCTGTAACATGCCTTTCCTGTTGGAAGACCGTATTACGAGGGTGCCTGTACCCAAATCTCGGAGAAGCGCCCTGGAAGGCGCGTTACTTCGAGGTAGTTTAATTCTCCAGGAAGTAGATGGCGAGAAGGGAGAAGCGAAGACAGAACTGCAAGTCGAAAGTTTGAAAAGTGTGTAAAAGTAGCTTGGAACATCGTAGCTTCATGGAAGCGGTAGAGAGAGCATTTTCCTACCAATGCATTGGTGGTTCAGTGGTAGAATTCTCGCCTGCCACGCGGGAGGCCCGGGTTCGATTCCCGGCCAATGCAAGCAGTACATTTTATTTCGCTCGAGGATTTCCGCTAGTTTTATTCTTACACAATGATTTATTTCCATGTTCAGAGAGGTTTAACAGTTATATCTCATTGAATTCACAGAAAAGGGGATTTATAAAATGGCATTGTAAAAAATGTATTTCCTGCATTACACCTAACATCAAAGCCATGATTTCCACTGGCCGAAATAGCTCAGTTGGGAGAGCGTTAGACTGAAGATCTAAAGGTCCCTGGTTCGATCCCGGGTTTCGGCAGGTGGCTTTTTTAAAAATCTTCCGGTTTATTACAGACGGGGATTTGCTGTGTAAAAACTCTGTAGGATATGTGCTGATATCCGCAGTTTGCACACTAAACTGGATTAACTTTATCCGGGAGAGAATAATTTTGAAAATACGCGTTGCATCTTCTCCCGTGTTTTTTTTCTCTCGAAGAAACTTCTTAAAGCAAGCAAGAAAGCAATCGAGCAAGCAAGCAAACGGGGCCTGGTATGAACAAGACATGAACTCTGTGCGCCTATTTCACGTCATTCGGTGCCCCACCCGGCCATAACCCCCCTGTAATTGCAGCAAGAATGAAAGACGAGGCCGATGCAAATCTCCTTTTCGTCTAACACTACAATATGTGAGCTTTCTGTTCGAAATCCATTAAATAAGTGTAGCATACATATTTTGGAGGTTCTGATAGTTTAATAAATTAGCACTTGTTTGTAGCTGCATCTGAGGAAGTGGGTTGTTACCCACGAAGGGTCATGCTAATTTATCAAAAAATCTTGAAGGAGCAATCCTATGCAACTTCCAGCATTCCGCAGTTATGCCGGCTGGGACCCGATGGGAGCTTATACCGCTTTTTACACACGCACGCGCTGCAGCTAAGGGAACGAACCGGAATGAGAACAGATCTGAACTGTGAGCTGATTCAACACACATTTTTAATCTTGAATATATACATGAAAGCAGTTCTTCCACCTTCTCACGCTTTGGTCCTCTGAAGACACTTCCGCAGCAGTATCAGTGCAGCATTGGAGGAAAGGGGGTCGCAGCAGAACAAAACGGACCAAAACAGTGCCAACAACAGAATCCAGCCGTCCTGGAACTTTTGTTTGGTTTGACGAAATTGCAAGTCTACACTCTGTTTCCTCCCTCCACTCCCCGCCAAACAAAAAACAAAAAAACCCTATCGCAAGTTAAGTTGGCGAGAGGAATAGTAAAACTCGCTCCTTCGTAAGACGAGGTGGCCGAGTGGTTAAGGCGATGGACTGCTAATCCATTGTGCTCTGCACGCGTGGGTTCGAATCCCATCCTCGTCGGCAACGGTGAAAGTTGTTTCAATTAAAACTACGTTTTTGGGTTACAATTAGGAAGACCCTGGGAGACCCAAGAAAATTTATTTCAGATCATCTCTGATTTATGGCGACTCTGCGAATGAGTGCTCTCCAAAGGATCCTACTCAGCTCTTTTAAAACTCACCAATTCAAATATACACGAACCTGGAGTTGCGGCCTGCCACCCGCTTTTAGCTCGGCTTTGCAAGAGATTGAACTTTAGTTAAAATTAGGGAAAAATTGCCACCAAGAGTGCCGCAGAAATTAAAGCCCATCTCATCTGCACCCAGGAATACAAAATAAATCTGCAACTGGCAGCGGTGGGATTCGAACCCACGCCCCCGAAGAGACTGGAGCCTTAATCCAGCGCCTTAGACCGCTCGGCCACGCTACCCTGCGCTTTGCTCTTATTTTTACAAAAATCAGCCTAAAATTTCTATTGACACGCGAGGAACTTCCCAGGTTACCCGACACTCAACTTGCGGGACCATT